CGAAAAAAAAAAAAGGAATAAACTTTTCGAGCCCCTCGCGGTATTGCCAATTATCGACTTTTCATTCGCAATGAAGCAACGGGGCCGGGCCGGCTAAAAAATTCAGGACCGACCCCGCGACCGACCGTCAACCAATGTTTCACGGGCGCGCAAGACTTCGCCAACTTTAATCAAACTTCCGAAAGAACTTCCGGAGCAAGGGGGTCGAGGCCGCCCTCCACCCCTTCTAGGAAGAGGACCGGAAGAAAGGTTTCTATCTTACATGTAAAACGCTTCAAAATACACGTCGCGTCCGCCTGTGAGCACGTACTGGCTGACTGTACTGGAATAAAAGTCGCCCCCTCGCGTTACTCTGATAATAGATAACAAAGAACAGTTCTGATAAAGGGGCTATTCACTCGGAAACCAGTGAAAACGATTTCCTTCTTTGAGAGTCGGTTGCCTTTGATTTCATATGATAGACAACAATGCGATTCGGTAACAAGTGACGTTTGGCCTTAAAATGGTGACTGCATTTTAGTGATTTTCAACGACTTCCAGTCATTCCTGCTTACGATTTCCAGTGATTCCCACATGATTTCGAGCGTTAAAATTCATGATCTCCTGACTGAATACCCCCCCGGTTCTGATACGACGCACAGTGGGCTAGAATCTGAAAATCGAACTTGGTTCTTCGATTTTTGGCCAGGATTTTGGAATTCTAGTCCACTGTGCAACGTCCGACTTCAGGTGTGGAAATTTCGATTTTCTTGTTATTAGTCTCTCTAACTGGAGGCATGGACTTTGATGATATAAAGGGTTAGAATTTTTGTTCGACTCTTAACCTCTAACAGTTGTCCTTAAGTCCCCAGTCGCATGCAAATCTATCGTATCTCAAATACCCAAATGTTTGACGTAGGTTGGACTTTCGAATTTGCGTTTCAAATATCGAGTCCGGCCTGTTTCCATTACATCTGGAATTCGCCCGGCGTGTTTTCCCGAGGAACGCGGCTCGAAACAACGGGAAAATAAAAGCAAGCCGGTCGCCTCGGTACTCCGCGATCTCGAAACTCGAACCATTTCGAAACCCCTGGGGCCGAGGTTAAGTATCGGCCCGAATTCCCGGATCGAAGTGCTCTCAGGGACGTCGAAAAGCCCGATTCGGATTCGCGCAAAAATCTGCCGCGAGTCCTCCAAACCTCCGATGGAGAGTAGAAACAAACTAATCAGGAAGAGTCCCTCGAAGCCGTGGGGCGTCCGTCTATTTGCAAAAGAGAAACATTGAAAAAATCGCCGATGAAAATCGAAGTTATTCCCGCCCCTGGGGGGGGGGGGAGGGGACGTGGGTAGCCCCCTCGAATCGACTGAAAAAGGCAATCGATCGAATTAATCGCGAATTCCCCCCGACCCCGGACGATTTAAGTTAATTCAAACTCCATTTTATTTTTCCCTCCTCCTTCGGTCCTAAGACGTCGAGATTCATCTCGAATTTTCCGACCTCGCGAACCTCGCAAAAACCCCGGCCGCGAATTAACGGGAACTCGCGCTCGACCTCCGTTGGCGCAATTCGTTAAACCGAATCAACGAAAAAGGAAAACCCAAAGAAATTGCGGAAGCAAATGCACCCCCCTTCCCTTTGCCCTCGCAGGGAACACACAAAGTCGCCTCGGCAACAAGAGGAGCACTCGATGCCCTGGTAACGGTCAAAACAAAGTTCCATCCGCTTTGCCTCGAAAAATAAACTAAAAAATGGTCGCAAGTGAAAAATCCAATCGAAGAGATTGACCGGGAATTTTTATCGTCGACCACCGCGGCCGAGCAATATAAATTTTCGGCCCGAGGTTAATTGATATTCCGCATGTTTGGACACCGCGGGGAAATATCCGCGATGCAAAAGAGTCGCAGCGCTCGCGGCCCCGAGGAAACCCGAAAACCCTTCCACTTAATTTCTATTGGCCAAATCCGGTAAAAGGAGCGAGTAAATAAAATCGGCTCGAAAACGAACCGGGTCAAAAGAACCCTTTCTCTACCTTTCCCCGCGTGCATTCGCCTGCGCTACGAATTACTTTTGCGAAAACGAAAGGCTGTCCGCATTGAAGACCCCCGGAGAACGTTAAAAATCTGACCCCTTCCACCCGGCTCTCCGGAGCGTGCATGGGTTTCAAAGTGAAAAAATAGACTCCCACTCTCTCCCCCTTTTTCTTTTCTTTTTCTTTTTTTTTTAATTCCGCCCATTTGCATGCAACAGATCGGAAGATCCGAAGCGTTTCAGTAGCGTTAGCGCGGTGGCGAGAGCCAAGTGAAAAGCTGCACCTCCCCTTCGAATTATTAGATTGTAATGGAACAAATGAAATAGAACGACCTCCTGAAAATGAATCACTCTCATAAAGTTACCTAATGGTACACACGAAATAGTGGTCTACATCCAAATCCGTAAACGATAAAAAAAACCCTTGTTCTTTTAAAAAAAAAAAATCTATTTCAGGATCCTTACACGTTCATCATTTCCGGCAAAAGTAAGAACTGATCGTCACCGTAAAAAAAAAAAAGTCATTTTTGTATTGTTCGTCGAAAATGTTCTTGAAAGAAAAATATATTTGCTGGCTTGTTTTCAAGGCTTCACATTTGCCGAAGGAGGTAAATTGTTACGAATGAATTATCTTTCTGTGTACGGGGTCGACGCGATACGAAACACCCCCCCGTGTGTCCACGGGATGATATAGAGTTTCCCTCGGTGGTGCATTCCGTGTCAGCGTGTTCATAATGTGGGGATGATGCAGATTTTTCTCATGAAAGGGGAAGCTGCCGATCGGCGAACACCGCGTTTCCGGAAACGGCGCGAACGGTTTCTCGATCGAGCGGACGCATTGGGCGGCGCTCGCGTCAACGCCGGGACGGGATAATCAATGCGGCCGTTTTATGAGCCATCCTAACAATGATTTCGGCCGATCGACCTCGAAAGCTAATTTAGCCAGCCGTGAAAACACGTGTTACTGGTCCACCAAATCCTTTCCTGTCCAACGGCGCATATACACGGCCACGCGTCCACGTGTGTATCGCTTTATCGACTGGCGACCTAATTCGCAGGTGGCCGATGTTAACGTTCCCGAAATCACGTTAAACCGCCGTCCGGAAATCCCGCGTGTATTTTAAACCCTATGAATTATTTAAGGGCCCGATCAAGAACCGCGTTAACCAATTAGGCGAAACTACGCGCACCTCGCTGCGTAGTCACGTGTACTCGGTTCGAAAAATCGCTATTTTTCAAGTAACCGATATCCAAATCCAAAATGACGGATAATAAATTCGTCAACAGGGAAATTTCTATTCGACGTTAACCTCGCGGTTACCTCTTAGAATTCCCGAAGTTTATTCTCGACGTTGCTCGAATCTCTCGATTTTTCCCACCTTGATATTAAAATGAATTTATTTTTGCACGATAAAGGTACATGTATGGGGAGAAGAAAAAAAATTGAAAAGAATTCCGACGAAAATTTGTCATACTCCAGGGTCAGGGAAAATCGTCCGGGCGATCTTCCTCCGGTCGAACGCTCCAATTCCCGCTTAGATATCTTCTCTGGTGCGAATTTTATCGTTTAAGTGCGAAATCGTGTTTTGCATGAAAATCCGGCCAAAACTTAGTTCCACCGCAGCTCGCCTCGAAATTGTGCCCGCGTTGCAGAGAGAAGTAAATTAGCTGCTTGATTGCCTACCGGCATGAACTCCGCGATTGCAATCGACGTATTAATCAAGATGCAATTCTTTTCATCTCTGCAGTCGTTCGCTGAAACACGCTCGAAAAGGTGCAAAAATTATTAACTACGAATTTCTGTACGAGAAAATACTCATGAAACGTGATGAAAAATTGTGAATTTCGGTGGGTGCGCAATTTCTGTATGAAACAAATATTTCTAAAACGTGACGAAAAATCCCGACGCAATTTAACTGGCGGCGAAAGCGTCGTTTCAGAAAATCCTGGAGACTCTTGTTGCACCCTGTATATCGACTCGCTTGGATAGGCGAAATCCTTAACATGCGGTGCATTAATGCCGGTGCATAAACGGGTTAAGTGATGTTGTATAAATCTCGTATATCACGCGCCTTAGTACACCAAACCCGCCTAATACCGCGCAAAATACTACCCTTCGTTTACATTATCCTCCGCGATCCACCCAACAGAAAACTGAAATGATCAGCTTGCATCGCCCTCCCATCGGCGATTATCTGGTAGAGTAATAAAAATGTATGCAAATAAAAAAGTCATCGGCAAAATGGCCCGCGAGGGCCGTACATTTACCCGCCCCCTGCCTCGTTTTTCAATTTTTGTTTTACACGGCCTGTTTTCCATTACCATCGAGTTAGCACCCTCTCCATATTTCACGCTAAATGTCATTCCAATTCCCGTCGGTATCGAGCCGATATTTTTCTAATTGTCAAAAACACAGGGCCCGCGCGTCCCCGGCGCTTACTAAAATTGGATAGCAACGCCATTAAGCAAATTATGTGCAATCAACGAAATTACAAGCATCAAACAGCAACCTTCTGCCCGGAACTTTGTCAACGCTAGGACATCCGCGGATAATCGTGTTTACTTAAAATGTAGGCCGAGTGTTCGACATGGCGAAATTAGGTAAACATTGGTATACACGACACATGGATAAATAATATACCCAAACCTCACAACGGCACTCTCTCCCACAAAAAGAAATCCAAAACTATCGGACTTTCCCAGAAAAAAATCATATTTTAACCGAGTGTAACTTTTGCTTGCGGTGAGACTACCCGAAAAACAACGATCCACTCCAGATGTCGATCGCCAAAACTTGGTCGCTCTTAAATCGTAAGACGACTCTTTATTTATTTTTAATTTTATTTGTTCTTCTTTCATCGTAGACGAACTTTGCGTCGATCCACGCGTCCGGGCGCCTCGGCGCGCTCCTCGCAAACGCGCGAAAACTCAGAGAAAAGGTGAAAAATCTCGTCTGGGAGTTTTTTTGTATATAATTCCGTCAAAGCCTTACCTTTCAACAGCACGAAGAGAAGCAACCGGAAGGAGTGCGTCTTCGCCGGCATCGTCGAGTCTGCATGAACCACGCGGACGCTTCCGGTGAGGTGGAAAAAAATGGCGGCCCGGTGTAGTTTTACATATGCGGAGTTTAAATTCCGAAGAAACGTCCCGAGACGCGTGTACGCGCGAACCGCACTCGCCTGTGGTCGGGTCAAAGGGTGGAAGTTGTGTGGACGAAGTCTCGCCTCGAACTGGCGCGTGTCCGCGTTTCAGCCCCTCTGGATAACCCCTTCTCGTTCGCCCCCCGCAGCGCCGCACTCCCGACCGCCCCGTCGGCTAATTTGCTATTTGCTGCGATTTCCTACGATTTGCTGCGTTTCGCGGTTGCGGCTCGACCCAAACTCCGAAGGCTCGATATATTTGTCCACTGAAATGTCCAATTTGCGAAAATAAATAAAGCTTTGCAGCTAAACAGGTCGCGCACAGCCTCCGATTTCTATTTTTGGATACACATGGATTTAATGATTATTTGCAAGGTTTAATCTAACGTAAATCAATATTTATCTTATACCTTTAATTTTCAGCCCGAGTTTCATTGATCGGTAGGCAGGTTTCTTTCTCGCTCGCTCCGAAACCTCCGCGCCATCCATCCGGTCTGCTAATTTCCGATTTACGGAAGGCAGTGGCCGCTCGCCAACCCGGATTTCGAGAGACGATAGATTTGTTTACAAAAATGGCCTCATTCTTCGTAAATCGCGTTCAGGAAGGGCAACGCCCGCGTCTCATTCCCACCTCGCTCCTAAACAAACATGTCCTTATAAGAATTTTTCAAATTTCCCGCTTAACAGGAACGTCGATTTAATTTCGAGTTTTGATCGGGTCCACTGACGGATTTTTAACGCCGATTGAAGTCCTGTATTTTGATGGACAGGTCATGTTTGGCCATGGCTAAATTATTACTTTAACGGGGAGGGTGAACTTTTCCCGTTCCAAAATTATATTTATGCCGGGAATGGCCATTGCCTTAATTTTTCCATGTTCAATAAGATGAATCGGTCTGTGGGGCCACCTGAGAGCGGTGTTTCCTAAAAGTACCTCTAATCCCAGAGGAATTAAGTTTCCTGCTTTAAACAATAATTTAGTGAGAAAAGTTCGTGACAGCAGGGCTCAGAATATGAAAGTTTCTTGGCACGGTGTTGCTGCCCGCAGAAACTTTCTGCGTAATGCCTCGCAACTTACAGTGCTCTTTTTACTGTGTACTCAATTTTCCAGGAATTCTCTTTTTATTCGATACGCAAACATTGGAATGCACATGAACAGCTTGTTTAATTGGCAATAGGGAAACCGAGACGTTACATTAACAATAAGCAATGGAAAAAATTAAACTGCGAAAATAAAAATGGTGGAAACAATTTTCATAGCTTCGGTTGCCGCATGATGAAACTTATTTGTTAAAAAACAGTTCAAAAATGTGAGGGTTAAAAGAGTTTAATGAGATCTTAATTGCGTACCTTTCTGCTTTAAAAATACGTATAAACTTATTCCCCAATACGTTACTTTCGTCATCGAAACTAAAATTATGCTTGCCAAACCGCTATTCTTTTACTGTGATACGGTAAACATATATAAAAGTGGTGGCTTGGATTAGCGCCGCGAGCGCCATCTGGTACCTAAGTTAGGAAACTCTTCAGAAGCGAACTTCCCTTTCTACTGACCTCATGATATTCTAGGTTACGTCTTAATTAACCAAGACCTCGTGCAACCTCGTGTCAGCAAATCGCCACGAATTGAGCTTTAGGTTAACTGTTGCGTGTAAATTTTTACCAGTACAGTATTTAATAATTAATCCGCACTTCGAATATCTAGACAAAGTTACTTTTGTGTAATCATGGCAGTCAGAGTACAATTTGAGAACAACAACGAGATTGGGGTGTTTTCGAAACTGACAAATTCCTATTGTTTAGTGGCAATCGGCGGGTCGGAGAATTTCTACAGGTAATAAGGATTATTACAATTATTATAGAATGATTACATTGTAATTTTGAGATAAAGATTTATTTCACAATTATTTTCATATTCAACTTAAAGATGGGATTGCATAGAATAGCACTTTGATCCTAACCTCTGAGTGTGTATTGTTTTAAAATTAAGTCATCTTGCGTGCATCCACTTTTAGATCACTGGTTTTAATTCATGATTTCTCTTTTTAGTGTATTCGAAGCAGAATTAGCAGAAACGATACCAGTCGTGCATGTGTCAGTTGCTGGTTGTCGTATTATTGGAAGATTATGTGTCGGTAAGGGATGAAAACTGAAAACAAGTGACTACAACGAAATATAAAATAAAATAATTTATTTCTCTTTTTAGGGAACAAACACGGCCTTTTAGTGCCAAACACGACAACAGACACAGAATTACAACACATACGAAATTCTCTCCCAGATAATGTAAAAGTTCAAAGGGTTGAAGAAAGGCTTTCAGCTCTTGGAAATGTCATTGCATGTAATGATTACGTTGCTCTAGTTCATCCTGATCTTGATAGGGTATGTATAATAGGGTAAAATTACGATTCCTAAAATTTTTTAACTGAATTCATTTGAAAATATAATAACTTCTTTCATATTGTTAACTTGAAATTTATCATTCTATGACACAGGAAACGGAAGAAATCCTAGCTGACACATTAAATGTAGAAGTCTTTAGACAAACAGTTGCAAGTAATGTGTTAGTTGGATCTTACAGTGTTTTATCGAATCAAGGTGGTATAGTACATCCAAAAACGTCTATACAAGACCAGGATGAGCTGTCGTCTCTGTTACAAGTACCATTAATAGTAAGTTCTACATAAAATATGAATTCAAATAAGACAAATAACTAAAGATTAAAGGTATCTGGTGCTTAGGCAGGTACGGTGAACAGAGGTAGCGAAGTAATAGCAGCAGGCATGGTAGTCAATGATTGGGCTGCATTTTGTGGTATGGATACAACCTCAACAGAACTTTCAGCCATTGAAAGCGTATTCAGGCTTAATGAAGCTACACCAGCTGCCATCACTTCAACTTTGAGAGCATCCCTCATAGAAAGGTACGTAGAAACGAATATTAAAAAATTAAACTTGTTTGCAAATGCACGGAAAGTTTTGTTGCAGGATAATGTGGTTATTTATTACATCTAAAGTGTTAAAATAATACTTGATCGTTTCAGCATGTCGTAAAGGAGGTTCTGTACCAAACTGAAACCAGAGTACCGAAAGAACGGATTGTACAATCTATATATGTATGTACATAACAGCAGCATCCATATCTGTGAGATTGCATGATGCAGATACACTTATAGTATCATATCTGTGAATGTATTGCGTAATTCCACCTCCAAATGACTTAAAGTGTAACGACATACTCTGTATTAAAGTTTCTAAGAAATGTGCAAATGCTTTGCCTTATTCTAACGGATTTATGCAAGTAGTGCGCAATAAAATTAACGAGGCTCATAAAGAAATCGATTTATCGATATAAGAATACATTTGTATTGCTCTTATGGATTTTATGATACGAGGATGTTCGAAGCATACTTGTAGAAAGAGTGCCTAATGTAATTACACGGTAATTACTTCGTTCTGTTATTCGATCCTACATTCGTATGCGAACATGTATACGATCAAATCAATTACATACAACGTAAAAGTTATTACCAATTCTCAATAATGTCCTGTAGCAAGATGCAAGGCACAACAATCTAATTATATTTCTTCAGACTAATGCATTCAATTAATTTTATTTTAGTTACGCACTTATCAAGCAACGTGATACATACATGAATACCTATAGTCTTCTGTACAATATCTGTTACATAGTTTTTGAATAGCTACTTGGGCCATCTGTAATAACATCAAATATGACATCACTTGACACGCTTCCCAAACTTTTACAGTATTATTGATTTTGTATCGATTTTCCACTACTATACTTTTTTTTCTCTTTCTTACTGAATCTTAGAATTAACATAAATTCAGATAAAACAGAACGGATTCTATCACATCCCACTTATTAAGTAGGATATAATAATTACGCGAGCGATGACCAGCACAACTTGCCATGTTTACATACACTTCCATGAAAAGATCGAATGAATGCTGTACCTTTCACACGTATAAATCGTAACTACAAAAATAACTCTGCGATTAATTCTAAGAATTTAACATGAGTCATGCATCCTATAAACTCTGAAAAATTATGCCCACAATGTTTTAAAAAAAGTTGTGTATAGTATCAACAGTTGAAAAAACGTTTGAAAATTAGATGACACAAATTTGATCAGTTTTAATTCATGTTAAACAATTCATACCAATCGCGATCTTTCCCATTAGAAATCACAAAAAATTCTTATCTCAAGTGAATATGTCGAAAATAAACAGTCGTGAAATAACGTCAGTCGATTTGCGCCTGTTTATACAGACCGGAAACACTATCGAGCAATTGAAAATTATAAATATTTACATTAGTAAGATGCACATTATTTTTCACTGTTCAAACCTTAATTCGTGACATAATTAACTGAACGTTGTATGCAACGTTGTGCGGACCAGCCAGTTGTAACCACAGTTGCTTGTAGTAATTCAAACAACGCAGCCAATCATTTCACTTGTTTCAATCAATGAGACTAGAGTAATGGTAATTGCTCAGCGAGCATTAATTCTGTAGCAGCAGGAGCTTCTGAACTCATTACTAACGTTATGCCCGCTTCATATGATGCAGGAATGCGAATATGTGTTGTATAAGACATAGACACAGCGGGCTGCTGTCTCATCCACATCGTCTCCCTTACCATATTCACAACTTGTCCTAAATATTCGAAGTAAATATGCGTATAAGTTGAAAGATGTAATTATATAAAACAAACATTAAAATTGAGAGCAACCGGATAATGATCCTTACCAAGCACATTAAGCTTTCGCCATCTTTGATTGAGCAAAGTGAGGGGAGTCAAATCAGTTGTCGAATTCCAGTGAGCTAAAACATCAGCTCGTCGTACCAAGAGAACACTGGGATTGACAAGTTGGTGCCAAACAACCTAATATTAAATTAGCATAAAAAATTATTTCTCATAGTGAGGCATGAAACCTGCCAAATGATAATACTCTTAACCAACCTGTTCGGGAAGACACTGAACAGGGTTTGTCAAATAGATTCCTCCTGGACCGACTCCAAATATCATTTGATGGTGCCAAGCATCAGGAATGTCATTACCTTCACCACAATGTTGTAAATTTAAAGTGGCAATTGGTGCCGCACCTAAAAGGATCACGCACAATTACAAACTGTACTATGTATTAGAATGTATACGAAAATATTTTTTCCTTCATTGACACTACCTCGAGAAATCCAATAATGAAGCCAATGTGATAGAGAAACCTTTCGTTCCGGATAAAAGGCAAAAAATTTTGTTATAGCTGCACCACTTGTTGCTAAAGATATACCTCTTGCCAAATCTTTATGTGTTGAACCTGCTAAAGATCTACTAACAAGATATCGTGGAAGCGGTGTGCCTGGTTCCCTTAACCTAGTTGCCACTCCTCGAACTAATACTTCTAGAGAAAAGGCAATATTCAAAGCCAGCTTAAAAGAAAAAGACAGATAAATATATATATACTAAGTAATTAAGTTTAAAATATTAGTAAGTTTTCAATCATTGGTTTTACCAATGTCCAAAGAAAACTTACAAGAGCATTAATGGCAGCTGTTGCACCACAAGCTGAAGTTGCTATTTGAGTTACTTGTTTTACTGTTGCTTCCTGTTCATTCCATAACATTACTTTTTCAACTGGTAGAAGTCCATCTAACCTTTCATTACATAAATCAGTTTCCTAGAAATATAAAGAAGATGATACCAGAGGCACTTTGTTGCTTTATCAGCAAAATAAAATGCATATTAACCAGGTTAGAATCACCACTTTGGTTGAAAGCTGCTTGCTTATTGAGCATCAGTTTCTTGGCCATCATACGATGGTACAGAGTTGAACTCAAATTATTTTTCCTGGAATTTAAATTTGAACTCTCTGGAACGGATACTGTTGAGGAATCTGCCCACAGTTCAGCATCTGTGTCTCTGCTATCACTCGGTGAAATCAAATCACCATTTGTATTATGGTGTCCATGGGACTCTCGTAGTGGACATCCACTGGTGCGGTAAAGACCAGTTGCCTCCCATCGTCCTGAGATTGTTACGTTTTATAAATCAGATCTTTTCAGTCTTTATAAATTTTTCTTCACACATTTGCAAACAAGTACTTACTGATTCCAGTACTCGTACTTGGGATCCATAAAGATCTAGAAAGCGAGTTAGTTTGATTTACACCTTCATCAGGTCTGCTTTCCATATCAGTGCCCAAATGATTGGTTTCATGATTAACATCTTTTGAACTCTCCTGTTTATTCTGAGTAGAAGATGAAAGACTTTGTCTAGATACAACCCTTCCACTACTTAAATCATTTAATGACACTGCATCAGCTTCGACATTATCTAATGCTATATTTTGTACATCTTCGTTAATCGAAGCCAAATCACTGTCACCTGTGTCCTGTCACAACAAATCTACTTTGAAACAGCAGATAATAAAATAATGATAACTATATTGATTAAAATATTTAATAACCTGTTCACACGAAGGACCAGGATCAAAATCCATTTCCAGAAAGTCCATTTCTGGGCTAGATCTATCGCTATGATGTTGTCCATCTACTTCGTGTACTTCTATTTGCTCCTGCCGTTGCTGCTGTTTAATATCTAAGCAAATGCTATCATCATTTCCTTTATATGTATAAATACAGTAATCTTCGCCATCGGACATATCTCCTTCATTGCCAGAACTTGAATCACGCCTTTCCTGCTCCCTATGGGAAACCTGAAAGAAATATTTTATTTAAACATTCTCCACTGAACTTATATCACCGTAACCTTTACATCGGCTTAACTAACATACCTTTTGCATTCCACTAGGACCGGCAACTTCTTTATTTCCATTAATATTAGGCCTTAAAAAACGACAAGTGCCCTGACTGGTTGAACCTATGCTACCACTGATATTGTTTAAAATACACTTGGGCTTATAAGAATTCGATGTCCATGTGGGATCTACTTCTGGGCTCGAATCCGAGCTACATGATACTTTTGGTGGACACTTCTCCACTTTGGGAACATAATCAACATTATTTTGCATATCTGTATCTTCCATTGAGGGATTAGTCATTGAACTTTGAAACACAATGGATGAATTCAAGGGTGATGGAGAATGCAAGTGTGAACTTGTATCAAGAGATCCCTGAGGAACTGATACATTGGACTGTTCTACAGGTATGTTTGACCGAATAGGAGATAGGGTCGAATACGCGTTAAGAGAATTTGAATTCACGGAAGGATTTGTACTTGCAACAATCTTGTACTTGGACTCACTAGAAGCATTAGTATTCAATGGTAGAAATTTAGTAGGCTGAGTGCTCGTAAATAAGGATGTAGAATTTGGATTTGACGTATCGGCTCTCATATCAATGGCTGACGAGTTCAGGTAAAACTCGGCTGCATTGCTTGGCATCTCTTGTACCCCATTCGTCAACATTATCGGAGGTTTAAATGGGGAAGAACATTGAACGTCTCCAATGTTATTGTTCACTTTAAACTGTTCATTAGACATTCTGTTTTGGAGTTTGGTCGTCTTGCATGGTTTAGCAGATTGATCGAATGACAAATTGTCATTCGTTTCTATACTTCTATCAATTCTGGGCTCTGCATCGTTTCGATCGTTTTCTTCCTTTGAGTTCATCCTATAGTTTAACTACAGGTAAAGCTTCAGAAAACGTATGATCTGGAATTCAAATTAAGAAACGTAAATTAAACTTATTCGTAAATTCACCTTATTTGATTATATATACTCCATGTCTGTTAGAAACTAAGTCTTCTAGAACAATAAGCCACGAATATTATGTAGCATAGGTTCCTATTCGATAAAACGTCGTTACCAAATCTTTTTTGCCGAACAGATTTGAGGCAAGGTAAAGCTTGACATTACTCCTCGCCAATGCTAGGCCATCCCAAAATCGCGCGGTCAGCGTAAAATCTCATTTACATAATCGTTATAAACTAGTTTAATTCTATATCTCTCCGCGAAACTATTCTGTCACACTTTGGGACTGCGATTCGCCGTACTAACCACTCCGACAAACGTTAGCTCCGGAAGTCAGCTGATTGTTTCACATCTTTGTGCGCATTTAGAGAATCGCGAACGTATCTCGGATTGCTAAACGAGATTTTGTATGACAGAGTTGCTGTGCCACATAATTTGAGGTCCCTTATTCACGTGCCTTAGTTGAAACAAAACCGAAGGATAGATCTTCATAATCAAGGAAATGCCGGAAAATTTCATTTGGAAATTTACAATTCACGCAACTCATTACGCTCTCAAACCATGAAGCAGTAGAGAATGTCCATGTTTCGCACCTATTATGCCGCCTAGCAGACCTACTCCGAAACTGCTGAACTTCTTCAATGTTTTTGATCCCTCAGTAAAACATAGGAAAATTAATCGAATTCAATGAATCTTGAGAAATAGAAAATATCGCGAACTAATAACAATTTAAGTATAATACTTTATGTAAACGTACTTTTTCCTCTTTATGGTAGGATATTAAAAATGACGAAAGAAATCTGAATTGCCGACTACTAACGCCCGAAATGTGCAGCGAATATAAACCATCATGCATTGCGATTCAAGCAGTTTTTGGCGGACGAATTTAAAACGCTAAAAAATTGTACTCGTTTCCTTTCTCCATTGACAAACTGAAACCGTTTTTCATTAACGGGAATGTAACGGTTAAAAGTAATTTTCAGATTACAATATTGATCAGAAATATTATTAAATCTGTCTACAAAAATGCCGTGTGGATTCGAATGTTAAAATCAAATCGTTTGATTCGTTTTTCGGAAAACGATTGGTTAAATAAACTTCATGTAGATATTTATTTCACAAAAATCAGTATATATTGCTTGGTAATGAAGATACATAAGCATAATTGAAATGTAAAACATAAACTCCCACAAAGGTATGATGCTCCATAATATATCGATTAACAAGAATTCCTACCAAGTGCAGATAGATTAAAGATTATATAGTCATCATTGGAACAAAGCAAATTAATGTTCCCCTTTATATATACGAAGTAGAATTATATTAATAGGGTATACATTTTTTGCTCGATTTTCCTCATAAGATAGTTATTAGACATTTAATTGTGTTATTTGTGACTAGTGCTAAAATAATTGTAAGACGATGGAGTATGTGCGCTAATTATGCTTGGTACATGAATTTATGTTTCTCTTGCTCTCTAATGCAGATCTATAATTCTTGTCCCAATAATATGATACGTTATGACAATTTTTCATAGCATATACTTATTTTACAATACAATAAAGTAGTTTATCATTCAAAAGGTAGCACACATTTGTTCTTGTACCGTTCATCTTGGTCACATAGTTTGGAATAAAATGTTTTACAGCAAAGGTAGTGGTAAATGAAAATTTCAATTAAGCAGCAGAGAAACAAAACTTATGTAAAAGTCTCTAAAGTAACCTTGACTCAAAATCTTTATGTACAACACAAACTTTTCTTTCCATGCCATGAATACAGATAACACATACGTAATTAGGCTTTGTTACATTTCTATCAAATGAAACATTCTGATTTCGCTATGCAGTTCTCCACTGAAGAACGAATTGAATCCATTACATATTCAATATTCAAGTACATCAATAGTACATACATATATATACTGTCGCGTTAGGTGAACGAGTGAAAATTATTACGTTTTCTTAGAATTACTGCAATGTCCTTTCCTATGCTTTTAAATATGCATGGAAGGAAACTTGAGTTCTCATTCCAAAACTAGAAGCTTGCAAAATGTAATGTCATGTGCCGTTAATGTAATCTTTTACGTTTCTTCAAAGCGAGTAATTACCTTTAAGCATTGAACTAATTTATTAGAAATTTCTTGATTAAATTTGACTAGTAAAAGAGCAAAGTCTGTAGCTTCAATTTTAAATGTATTGCACAATTAAGAAGCAATGTAGATTGATTTCTGTGACAATCTGTAAATTAGACTTTATTATGATTCCATGTTTTCAGTGATATACAACACTTGCCTTACAGTATCCTATCCATTACGTGTAAAGATTGTTTAAATAATAAATACATCAATTATCACTCGTTACCTCGTGATGCGACGCACAAAAATTAAATGTACAAAGAAGGTGGTTTGGGATAAAATGAGGATCGGGAATGGGATGATCGATTCAGATCGGAGAGGGGTGTAGTGGAGGGCAAGCTACCCCCAGGCCCTAGCAGCACCCACCACCTTGCGCACCACCCTGACCTCCGGTACCAGCTAGTCCACCAGGGCTAGTCGGAGAATGTTGAGGGCCAATCTTAATTCCATTTGCCTAAAAGGTACAAAAATGCAAAATATGGCATGCTATATTGTGACTATAGGTTAATATTAAAAATAAATATCAAAATAATTGAAATGAAAACATTAATAATGTAACAATTCATAAAAACTGTAATTTAAGTACCAAATAAAAGACTTTACACGGTATCCAGTAAATGTTAATGACTCACCTCATTATTGATATCGAAGACACCTTCCTGTATTTTTTCGTAAATTTCTTTGGCTGTATTAATAAATGCTTCTTCTACATTGGCTGCTGTCTTTGCACTAGTCTCCATAAAAACAAGTCCATGCTCCCGTGCAAATCCTTCACCTTCTTCCCTCTTAACCTCTCTTCTACTTTCAAGATCGCTCTTGTTGCCAATCAGCATTATTACCATGTTGGAATTCGAATGTTGCCTTGCATCTTCTAGCCATGTTGTCAGATGATTAAATGTCTCCCTACGGGTAATATCATATACGAGCAGAGCTCCCGCTGCCCCACGGTAATATGACCTTGTAATTGAACGGAATGCCTCTTGACCGGCCTATACACATAATAAAGTTCATTACTAAAAAATTAAGATTACAATATTAAGAACCCAAATATTGAAATGATATTTACAGTATCCCAAATCTGTAACTTGATCTGTTTTCCATCAATAGTTATCATACGTGCTCCAAATTCAACCCCGATTGTTAAATCATGAACAGGTTGAAATCGCTTATCCGTGAATTGTAGAAGGAGACAGGACTTGCCAACTCCTATAAAAGATGCACCGAATTTGCAAACGAAGTTCATATTATAAATAGTGACTACATTTTTATTACTTTAGGGGTTGGTAACTATTTCGGTATCTATAAGCATAACGTTATCGGAAAATGAACTCAAACTTATTAAATATAAATAGCGATTGGAATTTATTAAAATTCTTGCTAATTCATTCTAACTCCTACCAAATTAAAGAACATATGCAGGAAATTAGCCAAATGTACAAAAGAATACGTAGAGGCATTACATGCGATTAGTCTGATTCTTGTACGATAACACCATTAGATGCAATGAGAAGCAGAAAGATGTTGAGTTAATCCCAATGAGATGAACAGTGTATCAAAAATGATTGTGAGACTACTTTCCATCATATCAAAAAGGTACATTCCATATATAATTATGTGTAATATTCTTCGCAAGATGAAATGAACTACAACAATAAAAATATTGGAGAGTAGTAGGAGTAAAGAATTGATTAGGCAAATGCGACGAAAACAATGGGAGCTGTCACAGACGATGTAGTAGCACAGTATGTAAACCATCACGAGATCAAACAGCCCCTTGCATCTTGTAATTCGAATACGCACCCGTGTCGCCAATAATGATATACTTGAAAAGGTATGCGTAAGACATTTTAAAGTTTGTAAAGCTCGTCAAGGTATACTGAATTTAAGCACGCAGCTGCACGCAACGAAACAGTTCCACAGCTTGTCGTGTGTTTTATCTCTTCTGCTTGGCCGTGACGTCACTAGAAGAATATTCGGTTATGTTCGGGTGTCTTCGGAAACTGCTTCGGGTTCCGCAAGTAGCGCTACTAGTCAAAGTTCGATAAGTAAAGTACCCTAGGCAATTTACCTAGTTTTATCATTAAATTACTACATATTTTGTGTGACGAGTTTTCTACATAAGCGATGTAAATAACTTGGCGTATTCGCATAACACAAAAATTTCATGTGATAATTTGAAAATTTGTTATAATTAAAGTATTCACAGAAGCAGAAATTATTTTATACGAAAATGCTGTTATCTGACGGTTACCCAGTAAAACTAGTCCATGTTTAGTGTGGACACACACCTTGTTCCACATCAGGTCCAAACATTACCTGCAGATACTTACTCTTTCATTCTCATTTTATTCGAGACGCAAACTACTTTGAGAAAAGACTTTAAAATATCAATTGGAGAAACTTAATTTTAATTAAATTCTACTTCGCAGCTAGTTCGCGAATTGGTGCTATTCATAGGGAACAGCACCAATCAGCACCAATCGCCCAGGTCCCGCCACGTGGATTGGGACCCACTTGAGCATAGACACCTGCTTCCGTCAATTTCCTAGCGCTCTGGGAACCCGACAAAAACAGGATTCCAAAACCCATACAATTCGCCCACATTCGTACCACACCCATATCATACCATTTTTATCACTTTCATCACGGATAGACATTATTTTATTTAAAAGATGTCAGTACAAAATTTCGAGGCGAAAGTTTCGGGTCAAATTCTGATTTTAATGACATATTTAAACCTTTCTCAGAAAGAAAAAGAGCTCTATCCAATAAAATTATGGTTTCAATTAAAGGTGCAAGCATGAATCGAAGTGAACTAAACGCGACAATTTGTCGCCAATTGTTTAAAAACGCTTGTATATGAGTATCTTCACAATCTTGCTTCGTTGGTTGATTTTCAACCTTGAAATGCTCTGTAGCAATATTACAATATCTGAAAGACATTGAATTGTTTTACTTTCACATTATACATAGAAATTCTGGATTCTGATTTAAAAAATGATACTTAACTGTTCAAATGTCATATCTTTTTTCAATTTTACACTTCTTACTTGAGAACGACGTAGCACCTTGTTCTTTGAAATTAATATACATTCTAATGCTGCTCTATATGCATGTACCTTAAAAAAAGAAACATTTTCAAATAATGTCATTGAATGATGCCCTTTTATATAAACTGATATATTACAATTAGATCATTATATTTTTCTTCCTTCAGTTTATCACAGTAATTTTCCAAAGCATGGCAAGCTACTTCCAATGCATTATATGATATATTATAATCTGAGCATGATGAGACAAATTTGCTGAGTGGATACCCTTTGAATTGCTCGCAACCATCACTGAAAGAATATACATGCAATTTAATTGTAGTCGTAATTTTTAAATACAGTAATAACTAAAAATTACGAAAATATAATACCTGCCGTCTAATGTTAGTTTCATGTAACAGCAACCAACAATGCATAAATATTTAATTTCCTTTTGTTCAGCGTAAACCTTTAGCAAAGTTGCAGCTAAATCTCCACATGGATGCAAACCGACAAAACCAAAATTCGATATATTTGTATTTAGATAGAAATTATCTCTAAATAACGCCAATAATTGAGTTGTGAGTTCTGCTCTCGACGAATTTGATGACTTTACTGTTGCTGATACGTGCAGTGGTTTTCTTTTAGTAAAATCAGAGACATGTTTACTCAAAGATGTAAGCAATTGGTCATCCCACTTTCTACAAATCAAAATTATCTCCATTTTGACATTACTCTTTTGCATAAATTTAAATAAATGCTACCTCGCTTGTTCAGATAACACGGGTTGTTGCTCGATGCAAACGGTGCATAATCCGTACTTGTATGCTAATGCACGTGCTAAATGACCCATGCCTGCACCTACATCCACGATGCATTCACAATTAGTTTGAACTGCACAGTTCGCACATATCTGGAATAGTATTGATTGTGCTTAAAGTAAATTACAATGGCCGTAAGGTCATATAATATATTGCATAGTTCTACAATTAATTATAACTATGAAAATTTTTTCATTTTCTTGAAACCTATATTACCTCAGCAATTTTCTCAATTTCATGTCGTTTTTTAATTTTCACGTGCTTCGAAAATATATTTTTGAATTTCTTATCTGAAACCTTTGAATTCTCTGATCCTTCGAAATGAGCACCTGGTTTATTTAAATTGCGCTCCGGAAAAACCCTTTCACTGTTTCCCGCTCGTACGCATTTAAACACTATGCCACCATTGCAATCTCTGTTAAGCGTCAAAATACTAACGATTTGTCGTAGAGTTAATAAAGTTAACGGCCAGACTCGTTCGCTGCAAATAAATAATTAGTAGATCATGGGAATCGTCATAATTTAAAAGATACAAACATTTGGTGTTCCCCCGATATCCACGTTCCTAATTCTCGCGGCGACACATCTTCCAAAATAATTCTCCACGCCTCCGGCAGTTTCTGCCACAAGTCTTCGTAGTAAAAGTCCTGGAAATGCATACGTTACTACATAAATATGCCGATAAAACCCTGGTTTTCTCTCATAACGATGAAACGTATCGTTTTTGTCCAACTTTTTACTTCCGCGATAATGCGCGGAGTTACGTGAGCGCCACGCTTCAGAAAACAAACTATGCGACTGCCCGTCTGTGTCACTTCTTGTCCATGACCGTTGTATCGAGTTTACGTATGGTAACTCTATCTAGTTATTCTCAAAGAATACGCATCGCGGTTTTACAAAATAATATAGAGAATACGAACCACCACGTAGGAATCGAGCAGCCATCCATATTTTCTTAGAACACAAAATATTTGCTGAATGGTAACACGTGCTCCGACACACGAAGAGCAATCACAGGTGATTGCTGCAGTCGCCATTGTTACACGTTTGTCGGTAGGACCTATCTTACCGAAGAAGCATGGGTGCAGAAACTGATGGCCCCCGAAAAAAAAAATCAAACCTTAAAAAGATTTTATTTCGTTACGTTCCTTTTGTATGGATTGTAATCACTAATAAATTATTTTCTGAATATCTGGCATCCATATGTGTAGTCCTATTCTATTATATGAAGTTATTAGTTTATCATTATATGTACTGTACTTGCACATTCTAAATCCTGAGAAACTGAAATGTCGATAACCTGCCGCGGTTAGAGCCACTTTTGAACCGTAAATATTCCGTGCTAGCAATTGCAATCTGTGCAACTATTCCTTAAACCGCAGGCATTGTTTTTTTCTTTTAAGGCGCGAGCGTTTCCGGACGTGTCACTTTCTTCTTCCAAATGGAAAAAGAGCATGCGTTACATTGAAAACGAGCGGAATAACTCTAGCGCATCTACCTCTGGCTCTGAGGTCTTAGGAAACTTTAATATCTAACATTTGGTCTCGTGAGAATTCCCATTTCTGCGTGGAACACGGGCTCTAGATGGATAGTCTGGTAGTCGGGTGCTATTTATTTCGTTTATTTAATAATTATAATGCCAAGTACAGTTCGTGCGTCCCACTTCGCGGCACTTTCACTCTTCAACAGTTACGTTATTCCTTCCGAGCACTCCAGACACCTATACATGTAAGAGGAGGGCTCCGAGTATACGTTTCTAGGAGGCGGATCGTATCGTTCATCTTCAGTCCACTTTCGTGAGAATTAAACAGACACGAAATAATGCAATCTTCGCCATCGACGTTTCTCGGGATTTTACTCTCGCCGACGCTTCCGAGCTTCGGGAGAATTGTCACACTACCTGTTATTATACGAGATTGAAATTCACCTGAACGTGTATCATCTCAGGATTTCATTATAATTTTTTTACGCTCGAATAGTAGTCCAACAGACATTTAATACTTCCCCTCTGTCAATAATTCCTCCACGTCTGTGTATTATTTTAATGATCATTTTTAGCTCACTTCGCACGTTTAAAAAAAATGGTTACGTTCCAGGCTCGGCTAAGAACTCCTAAACGGCGAAATGTGGACTGTAATTACTCACAATGGATCTACCTCTCAGAGGCTCTTTAGAACTATAGTAAAATTGTTACCCTACCCATTATTATTATATAAACACGCATTGCATGTAACTTCTAATTACGTGCCATTTGTTCGCAGGGTCTCGAGTAGGAATGGCGGTTCATATTTGTAAAATTGGCTCTTTTTATACTTCTCGCTTACATCACCGAGAGAGCTATTATATCGTCCATCGTTACCACTATTGGTTATTTGCAAATTCTCTTCCTATTATTTCCCAACACCCGACCACGTCACATCCGCGGATAAAAATTCCTCGAGGCAGGAAAAAGTGATGATTCGAAGGAAAGACATTCTTTTCGAACTTTCTCCAGTCTGGTGACACCAATAAACGAATTTTGATGTACCGTCGCGCGGTGCATCGGTCGATGCAGATACCAAAATATGAGAAGAATTGGCCCAGTGACGCGACGTGAGTTAAAATTACCAATAAAGATGTCTGATCTTCCAATCTGTCCAGTTCGAGCCTCCAGAGGTTATTTGGAACTCTTAGGCCAACGTAAGTGAAAGTTACCAAGTAGGACGCGCGTCTTGGATCCGAGCGCTGGCTGGATGTTCGCCAAATGCCCATGGCTTCTTTCACGTACTCCCGGGTTATACGTTAGAATTAATAGATGCCGAAAAACCCGTCTTCCGGAATGACCTTCCCTCTTGAAAAGTTGCCTGAGGCGACTTTCTTAAAAGAAATTAATTCCTGACCAAAAAGATGAATTTTAGATGAAGCCACTTCGCATGGTCTTCACTGATACACTCGAATAGTCAATGATATCATATCGAGGTCTGTTTCGGTGTTTCACATGTTTCAAAGTGGCTTTCCCTTTTAAGAATCCGCTCAAGGCAATTTCCACGACAGACCCTAATTCTGAATGGGAAAAGTGCACTTTTCACGACTTTCTTCGAGGGCTTTGTTGGTACAACTTTGTATAACAGTTATACCTTATGAAGGACTTTCTTCAGGTTTTCAGGTGCCGAAACAACGTCGATCGAGCCCTGGAGAACAAGCGACGCCAGTTGGAAACTCCAAGTGCCGTAACGAAGAATCTAACCGCGCTTTTATTAGGTCATCGGATCCAACTTCAGAACATCTCGGTCTCGCAACCGGTCGTCGGGGTTTACGAGAGTGGCGCACGTAACGTTCCCTCGCGCTTAAACGTCTCTATCTGGCGGATCGAGATTTCGAAATAGGAGCACCGTGGAAAGCTCGAGCTCGTCCGATAATCGCGGCTCGCCTAAGCGAGCGACATCCGTCTCGGCGGGTCGCAATTAAAGGCCCTCTCGATCGGCAATTCCCACCGGAGGTTCTCCAAGTTGGGGTTCCCCGAGGCCGTCTCGCGGGCTGGAAGAGGAAATAAGAAATCGAAGTCGCTCGGAGAAAAGAGAACAGCAGAATCCGCGGTGCGGAAGCGTCGACGAGATCGCCAGGAGCACTTTCGAGAGGAATCGCCTAGAGAGCTGACCAAATGCTAGGTTTCGTCCCGAGGCGATTTTCCGTGGCTGATAATCGCCATCGGTGGGAGAGCACCGATTATCCTCGGGGAGGAAGGAAAGAGGAGGTGAAGGACACGCGGCGCGTAAGAGTCCAAGTAAGGCGAAAGCTGGGATTCTCGTTTTAGGTACCATTGCGAAACCCAGACGCCCACCTTCGAACCCTCGTTTTTCAAGACCTTTCCCGTCCTTAGGGTAAGTGGAACGCGCTCATAAATCTTCCCAACTTGTTTCATTCACGGCTGGGTGTAATACGCGAATAAAAATCGTAAAAGAGTGGAGGAAGAACGCGTTGCGTAATATCAACCCTTGGATAGTCCTGCAGGTGATGGCGCGTGGCAGGGAGCATCGCGTGGCAACCTCCGACCTCCACGTCGGCAGCGTTCTTCTCGAGGCCGTTCCAGAGAAGAACTCCTGCGAACGGATGAGCCAAAGGTCCTCCACGAGTGGTCGAGCCGAAGAAAGTTCGTCCCATCTCGACGGGTGACTCTTGGGAGCGCGTCTCAGGTGTTACCCCACTCGGTGGGTTTGGAAGAGATTCCTTCTGGTGTGTCGGCCAGGTGTGCCGGTATGCGTGCAGGCCAGAGAAAGGTGCCGGGTGCCCCACCGCAGCCGATTTTAGAGAGGAGCTTCTTCTCGAGGTGGTGGGAAGGGAGAAACGAGCCTTCGGGGCCGAGCTGTCCTCAGTTCGACGTCGAATCCGAGACCGGGATCCTCCGGTGTCTTCCGTGCACCTGCCGGCTCTTCTTAACATGTTATTCGGTCCCACCTAGACGAAACGAGTACACGTGGAGTCGGTGAGGTGTGACCCGAAGGGAACGCGAGCGCATCACCATGTATTTCCCCAGACTGGTAAATATATCGACCATGGTTGGTACCTACCGGGTACCACCTATATGTACCCCGTACCCTTTCTTGGGTACCTGGGAACCGTGCAATGAAAGTAAATCTTGAGAAGAGAATGTCATTAACGATATGAGGTGGCGTCGCTAACAACCCCCACAGGGTTTTTGCAGAGTATAATTGGATTGTAAAGCCCTTGGAAATATCGGCACCGAGTTGTTTTGCTTTATGACACAAATCAATCATGCGATTCGTTAACATGGATCTGATGTGACTTTTTTTTAAGATCTTGCCGACTGATGTTTCGTAATCCTAGACTTCACGCCCTGCTAAAAGAGTAATTATTTGTATAATATGATTTATATCAATCGTGTAGGCGCCTATGGGGTGGAGGAAATACCTACTTCCTGGGTTTTCTTCCTCGTTCGCTATCAGTTATCAAACTTGTAGAATTTCCGGTCGGATGGAATTACTGGGGCAAATGTATCGTTGTAGTTTCTGCTTATTGAAATAATTGTTGAAAAAATTTGTTAGACATTCCCGATCGAGTGAAACTTGCTGCCTTGGAATCCTTGACATTGGTTCGTTAATTCCGCCTTGGTGCGATGCCACTGCTCGAAGAAAGTGATATGATTTCTAGTCATCCTGGAGGGGACAAAAGCAAGGACGGACTCGGGCGGTGCATTACAATTAGTGTGGTTATTCGCGAAGCTCGCTATAAAAGACAAACTCTCTTACGGTCTTACGAGGAATACGTTTAACGTTCAATCGGGCTTCGTTTTATCGAGAAAGCATAATTTTTATGATTTGCCATATCTGTGGTTAACCGTGGAAGTTTCCTACTTGCACATCGATATGGAAGAGCATGCCTTGCGTACTTTCATCCTGGTTGAACAACTTCTGGTCGACTCGTCGGTAAAGGAGCACCCGCGACTGGGAATCACTTATCAGGCTCTGGTTAACCGTTTACTCAGCGTCTCTAGAATATCAATTGATCGGCTCTTCCGGGGCAGGATATCTCCTCCCGTTATTAACCGGGTCACTCGGTTACGCGTATGGAGTGAGTCGCATTGCAAACTACAACTTGGGAATTTCTAAAAGTCCGAAAACAATCGCAGAGGCGACGCGAATTCCTGATTCGTTCGACCTTAATCGACGAATGGATGTATGCAATCCAACCCCGTTAGAACATAGTGTGTCAACGCCACAAAATAAATTAGAATAATTATGATATTGAGAATGCAACGTGACGATAAATATTTGTTCTTTATCGCAGATGATCGTGACGATGGTCCTGGCTGTCGCTGCGTCCAAGGAGGACAGCAAAAGCCGGGACAAACGACAGCAAGTCGCTTTTTATCCCAGACGAGGAGGCAGACCACCACCGTATGCCGTGCAAATGGAACCCATTGTACAATATTCCCAAAGAGATCCTCTCTACAACGCTCTGGCACACTCGAAGAGCGACGACGGAGGTCTCTACGAGGAGGCACCAGCGAATTATTATCCAACGGAGCCGGAGCCCATAATCGAGATCATCATTAAGGAATCGAACGATTCGCTTCCAACCCCGGTACCACCGCCGCCGCCGTCTCAACCGCGACCTACGAAGGAGCCGATCCAGGTGTTCTACGTGAAATACGAAAAGAAAAAGGGTTACGGAGACACGAAACCCCGAGTCGTGTACGACCCACCGATACCAGCCCTAACGCCGGTCGAAGAACACGAAGAGGTTCCTGCGGAGGGACATTCCGAACATTCGGCACCCTACGAAGAATCCGTCTCGTCGGCAACGCCTCCGCCCTCGGAACCATCCACGACCCTGAGGACAATTATCCGCCCCGATAGCGAGGTCTACCATGCTGGCAGCAGCGGCATCAGGGTTACTTTTGGCACGGAACAAGTACCCCCGAATAATCACAACAAAAGAAGCGACCACGAACAGCCGACTCACAGATCAACGCCACAACCACCTCTTGGACCGACAAGTTCTTCCAAGAGGCAGCATGGTCCTTACCAGCCAATTCAGCCACTGCCGAGAGTGCCTCCAGCTTTTCCTCAGCAGAGAATCGTTAATTCTTTCCCCCAGCAGCAACAGCAATTGCCAAATTTCGGAGCCCAGACTCAATTCCAAACCCCTCCACAGATAAGGAACCCCTCACAGAGGCCTCAAAGATTGCCCATTACTATTCAGGGATTACCGGAGGTGCAGCAAAGGGTTCCCTATAATTCTTTCGGTCCTCCTCATCGGGTGAACGTGAATCATCCTCAGCAACCAGGATTTCCCCCTACGCTTTCGGTATCTCATCAGAGCGTGCACTTGCAGAACCAGCCCCAGGGTCACGGTGGTTTCCACTTGGAACATCAACAGCAGCAGCAGCAACAACAGCAACAATTTAATGCGTACAAACAACAGGAGCAGGAAAAGCAGAGGTACCATGAACAGCGCCGTCAGCAGGAGTTGATAAAACAGAGAGAACAGCAGAGACTCCAGCAAGAGCAGCACAGGCAACTAGAACAGCAAAGGCAACTGGAGCAACAGAGGCTGTTCGAACAACAGAAGCAGCTGGAACAACAGCGATTAGCGGAACAACAGCGATTAGCGGAACAACAGCGATTGGCGGAACAACAGCGATTAGCGGAACAACAGAGGCAACAGGAACTGCAAATATTCCAGGAACAGCAAAGACGAAAACAAGAGGAACAGAAGCAGTTGCAGGAACAACAGTATCGTCAGCAATTGAAGTACAACCAGCAACCTCAGCATCTACCGCAACAACAGAATCAGCCCCAGATTCAACAGCAGCTGCAACCACAGTCGCAATCGCAGATCCCCTCTGGAGAGATCTTCAAAGCCGTTCCAAAATTGGAACAACATTACGCGATCAGAGAAAATCCTCTGCACCCAGGACCATTCCCTCCCAACCCTCAAATTCAACCAACGCAGTTTCCTGATCACTCCCCGAGTCAATACCGTCCCGAACATCAACCGAACACCGTGGAGAATCAACCGTTCCCTCGAAGTCCCCAGAACCATTTCTCCACCGTCGGTATCCAGCAACACCAGCACCATTCGACCGCCCCGAAGCAAAATCCCTACCAGAATCAGCAGCTCTTCTTCTCTCAGAACCTCCCAACTCCCCAGCAACACAGCGTACCATCGTCGCCTGTACAATCCATATGGGGTAGGCCGGTGTTCCAGAGCAACAACCTGAGTCCTGGCCAGAAAATCTACGCAACCCCGGTGAGTAATTCCGAGGAGATCAGTTCGCCAGCAACGACGACGACTTCGAGACCGTCCACAAGGTTCTCCAGCACCCCGACTACACCCGTCACCACCCCAACACCGAGCACGACGACCACTATCTCCCCGAAAAACGAAGCCAGGATCAAGGAGAACATCGCCAATCTGCCGGAGGAAGTGCCCGACGACATTCGCGAGCAACTTCTGAGTTCCGGAATCCTCGGGAACGCCGACATTCAGATCTTGGACTACGACAAAGTCGGAGACATCCCGATAGAGAATCTGCCACCGGAGGCTCTCGCTAATTTTTACAGCGCCGGTGGTCCAGCCGCTGCCGGTAGTGCTCCCGTTCCCGTTGTTGCGAAGAGGTCGAAGATCAGCGAGATCCCACCGGCAAAGAAAGCCGATTCCGGGAACGTCGACGTAGAGCAAGCCACACTGAGACCTGGCGGGGTGGAAATGAAAGTAGTACGCTTCGATCCGAATACGGCCCACGGTCAGGCCATAGCCGATCAGCACATTCGTGAGGATGCCACTCGGCTGAAACCGGTCACAGTGGGCGCGAAGGATGGGTCTCGGAACCAGTACAATCGCTACTTGCCTCTTAAAGTCAGCGGGGCTTCCTTCCCCATACCAGACGTGCCCGAGCTCAACGGGAAGAGGATCTCCAGCGTCGTCGTGCTAGCCCCGGTGGACTACAACTTTCAACCCGACAAGGAGGGCGACAGAGACGGCAGGAAGATCGGGGATGTACAAGCGGTCAGATTCCTCGCAGGTGACTCATTAAAGCAACTCGTTAAGAAGCCGAATGCCGAGAATTACAAGAAGTGGCTCGAGCAGGAGAGAAGGACGGATCCTCTCCGACAGTCGGTCGTGTTGCTCGTCGCTACGTAAGTTTACGTCCTTTTAGGCTTCTAGCGGTTACAAGATTTTTATGTCCATTTTACTTTCACGGCGGGGCGGGCTTCAGGATCCTGCGAGAGGGCGATGAGAAAGCGCACGGGTCGAGGGAAATGTTGAATTTGCCGTTTGTGGCGGGTAAAATGGCTCGACGTTTGTCGTTAACGCGTGTTTACGTTTCAGACCGAAGAACGACGCCCATGGGGAAAAGGAAATATTTATGTACGACGTTAGCTCCCAAGCGGTGAGCAGATTGTCCGGAGATCTGTCCTCGGCGTTCGTGGATGCTGCAGAGAGCAACTCCGACAGCTCGGATTCTATTGGAGATTTCACCGTCACAAGTAATTGAGGCAACCATGTGATCATGCCTGAAGGAACGACGAATATTTCGCGTGCCAAAAACAAATGGAACTTGCATTTCTCCCGCGGTCGGCTAAAGCTCAACTTCCTACTTGGGAAAGAAGAAGGGGAGTATCGGATAAGATCGAAATCCTTGTTCGTACGAAATTCCATACTCGCGGTTAATTGTAATTGGTCCAAACGAATGATTTAAACGGACACGTGGTTAAAGGGTAACGATTGCCTTGGTTGGATTTTTCTCGTGGATCGATTACGGCAGAATCGGTATGAGAATGTCCTAGAAGAAAAATGTAGACTCCACGCGTCTGCCTTCGTCAGACCATGTCTTTAACTACCCAGTGTAGATATCGTAATGATGTATTATTATGTACATACTTATATTTTTGTACCTTTTTATACAAAATAAAATTAGAGGCCGCTTTTTTGCGCAAAAATTATCCTACGTATCAGATATTCGTTAATTAAATTCGGAAAATAGATGAAGCTGTGGCAATTCCACAACTCTAGCGGTGACAATGAGAAACGAGTGCAGAAGACAGGAAACTAAACATCTGGGTGTTTACTTGGGGCAGAATTTTATAAACATTAATATATAAGTAATATTTGTACCATATACATCTTGTCGTTATACATGATTATTGTAAGCTCAGTTATTTAATTGAGATCTTACATATAGATAGCACAACTCGCTTTATTCTATGGTGCCCAGGTTATACAAAATGGCGTTGCTTGTGTTTACTGCAAAATGGCGAACTGTGTACATCGAGAAATGGTAACACCAGCGCAAAGAAAATCATTAAAACTGACTCTCCTTATGATGGAACTACCTTGGAGATTCTATTAGCTATGCAGATATCACATGTATGATGCACACGTGCCGAGCTAAATAGAAACAACTTCTGGCGAGGAAACACGAATCCAAAATGGCGGTGTCAAGACTGCCGAGTGGGGGAAGTCGGCGCGGTGGCTTTACAGTTCAGCGACACAATAGCAATAATGAAACACTCTCGTTTCCCATATCACTTCGACACTTTTATCGCGTCTTTCCTCGTGAGAATTAATCATCGACCGGTGTCAGAACGATTAATTCCGTGGTCGTAAGGAGTCGCGAACTGCGTCGCGATTCGCGGTCGGTGTTTCCCCTCTGCGTATCGCGCGCCGCTGAGAGATCAGCGCTCCCGAGCGCTCGGCGTGCATAGAGGCAAGATGGCTGTCGGGAAACGTCAATACATTTTATATCGGCAAAAGCGTGCGCTTTTGTAAACAGTTACGTCGCCGGAGCCCGGCGAGACGCGAATGGTTAACGGTTGAGTGCAAAAGGTCGACGCGAGGGTGCACGGGAAAGCGCTTATGCCGGTGAAATGGCAGAATTCGTGCGCGGGGGCCCCAGCGTGTCGAACAGTGCTAAGGTACGTGACCAGGTCCGTCATGCTGTGCTTCACTGTCATCCTCTTGTTTATCTGAGACATAAGTGAAGAGAATAGAAACATGCTTGCCAAGCACACGCTTTTTTTGCACGGCACATTCTAGCTGGAAGGACGAAGCAAACTTTTTTACATTCTATAAACATGTCTTGTTTCTTTGTTTCTTTAACTCGAGTAAACACACCGTCGAGAATTAAATTGTCCGTTTTGTTTCACAAAATGTTTCACTAAAGCATAGTTAAAAATTGTTTGGAATAGATAGGGTTACAGAAATAGGTTTACTTTCTTTAGTCGTTACATTGGATAAGCGTACGCGTGCATAAATCAGTATGCTTTACTCAGCCTCTCGCAATGTTCCAAGATAGATAGCAACTATCTTTTTTGATTACTCCACATAGGTGTTTGTTTAATGTATTTATCTTTGCATATGCTACTGGTGTGCTGAAATCACTTCTACTCTATTTTCTTGGCTCCGGTGTAACTACATGTAGTTGATATTTCAAAGTTAGGAAACTAATGTTATTTTAACTTTGGTTAGGAGCAAAATCCTTCTGTCTTGGCTTCTGCCCACATATGTTCATTTCCACGTGTTTCAGGTTGAGCTTAATAATAAAGGCGGGTCTTCGAGTACAGGAAGCGAGGATGGAGGTCCAAATGAGTCATTGAATCCTGAAAATGACTTTGATCCCTTTCTTGAAAATATACCAGATGACCCACAGGACACGGAAGAGCCTGATAGTGGAAACAATACACTTATAACTGCACCTCCGGAAAATCAGTAATTAATTTAAAATTATTAATTGAAGTATATTTTTACAAGTATGATTTACTTTATTTAAAATTAAATTGTTTTAGATGGTACCATGGAAGACTGGACAGATTCACAGCGGAAGAGAGATTATGGGATGCCAGTAAAATGGGAAGTTACTTAGTTCGTGAAAGCGACAGAAAACCCGGTAGTTACGTACTATCTTATCTGGGACGGACTGGCATTAATCATTTCCGAATTACAGCAGTGTGTGGTGATTACTATATCGGTAAGAAGATGTTCGTCACAGCAGAATAAATGACATGCTAAGAATATTAACCCTAAAAATAAAAATATTAACTGAATGGTTTTGTAGAAAATAAAATTAACTGATGGTCATTAATTTTCAACTTTGCAGGAGGTCGCCAGTTTAATAGTCTATCAGATTTAGTGGCCTACTATACTCATTGTTCAGATCTTTTAAAAAGAGAGCGCCTTATACATCCAACTCCACCACCAGAGCCTGTTAACGACAAGAAACGAATTGTCGCTATACTGCCCTACACGAAAATGCCAGATACGGATGAGTTGAGCTTCCAAAAAGGTGATATATTTTTCGTGCACAACGATATGGGTGATGGATGGCTTTGGGTCACCGCACACAGAACTGGTGAACAGGGTTTGATCTTCCGAGAACTGGTGGAAGACTTAGATGATTCCATCGATCCAAATACTGTTTTCTCATGGTTTCATCCTAATGTGACGAAAAGCGAAGCTGTAGACATGTTGGTTAAAGCAGGCCCAGGAAGTTTTCTAGTAAGTGTGTAAAATTGTAACATATTCATATAAATTAAAGTCAGTGCCACTAACACTGTTTTTTTTTTTTTGTGTGTAGGTCAGACCCTCGGACAATAGTCCAGGTGATTATTCACTGTTCTTTCACATAAACAATCAAATTCAAAGATTCAGAATTGAGAAAAAAGGTGTACGATATTTAATGGGAGGCAGAACGTTTGAATGCCTTGATGCAGTAATAAACAGGTACTTCATTAAGTTCGATACTTGGTATCATTCCTATATCGATCTCTTTTATTTGAAATATTTGAAAACTAAATTTCGCATCGTTATTAATGTTACAGGTATAGAAAAGAACAAATAGTGGAAGGTCATACCTTGGTTCAGGCAATGGTAACGGAGCCTGATGGTAGTGTAAGAGTAAATAAAGAGGTGCAACATGCTGAGAAGATATACGCCACTTTGAGAGAATGTCGGGAACAATCTGGAGCAAAAAAGAACAAAGGCATTAAGATGCAAGGGTACCTAGAGAAGAAGTCTGAGAAAAATAAGAAATGGAAAGCTCTGTACTTTGTACTTCTTGTAGATGCAACTGACACGCATCTTTATTTATATGACAATCCTAAAAGAACTAAGCCAAAAGGCCTTATCGATTTGAGCTGTGCTTATTTGTACCAGGTAAGGGCGGTTGAAAAATTACTACCGATACCATTTTAGTTGTACTTGTATCAACAATTGGCAGTAATTAAATGCATTTCATCATCTAGGTTCATGAAAGCGTTTTCGACAGGCCTCATTGTTTTCAATTAGTGGAACGTGCTTTGCCTTGTTTGGCCACGATAACGTATTTGGCAGCACCGACTTCGGAAAATGCTTTAGATTGGATCAATGCGCTGAAACCGCTCTGTGTGTCACAGTTAACCCGAGCTCCGAAAGTGGCTCGCTTGCGTGAACTACGCTCTCTACATCTTCATATCTTAGACGCGCATAGATTGCCATATAAGCTAGTGCCAAACCCATTTGTGATAGTCGCCCTGAATAATGTTAAAGTAGCTCGCACGAAAGTTCAGTCTGGTCTTCATCATCTTTGGGACGAAGAATTTATTTTGGAGTATGTATTAAAAATATTATTAATTTCCCGATATTAATTCATGGCGGATATATCCCTCCGATTTGTAATGCATTCATAATAACATAATTAATAACTTCAGGGATGTTCCACCTGACGTTATGTCGTTTACTCTTACACTATATAATAAAGGCAAAAGAAGTAAGGATACCGAAGTAGCAGAAGTGACTGTTGAATTAGCTAATTTAGCAAATGGAGAAGAAATGGACGAGTGGTACCCACTGTCAGGTGTCACTCCTCTTGGAGACTGGGGTGCTCTGCGTTTGCGATTGCGGTAAGTGTATATGATAATTTTTTGTTAGTCGATTGAAATTATTTTTCTATAGTTTATAAGTAAGCTCAATAACTTTCTTTTTACAATCGAGTAGATATCGGCATGATTTAGCAATGCCACCAGAGGAATACAGTCCTCTGCAGCAATTACTCTTGGATCCAGAGTTACACGTTGTTAGAGCATTAGCGGATGTTTGCCACTTGGATCGAGTACCACTGGCCAACAGTCTTCTTAGAATATTCAGGTAATGTCTCTGAAGTTTGTTGTATTATGATTTTGATATAACAAACGATAATATGAATATCGTATCAGCAATGCATTGTTACTAGGATTACAAGCAATAATGTCTAAAATAATTTCGCAGACACGAACGTAAAGAAGCAGATCTTCTACGATCGTTAAACCAAGCTGAAGTAAGTTTCTTGTAATACACGCAATGCATAGATGCAATTATTACTTCAATTCGTCTGTAAACCTAATTCTAGGTCGATAAGGAAGACGAGACACCAACATTATTTAGAGCTGCAAGTCTGACGACAACGTTGATGGATCTTTACATGAAGTCCGTGTGTACTTCCTTCTTGAAAGCAGCATTGCGCGACACTATAGTAAAGCTTATTGAGAGTAAACAAAGCTGCGAACTGAATCCAACAAAAATGGATTCCCCAGAAGATGCCTGCAGTAATGCAGAGTTTTTATTACAAGTACTGATATTTCTAAATCAGCCTATATTTTTTTTTATGATCATAAGTACTTATGCTTTATTGCCCCTTTTTTAACAGGTTTTGGATGAAGTTACACTGAGCATTTTTACGAGTCCGGACGCTTGTCCAAAAACTCTGCGATATATTTGTGGTTGCTTACAACGAGCAGTTGTTTCAAAATGGCCGCACGAAAGACTAGTCCGCACAAGAGTCGTCAGTGGCTTTATATTTCTACGTTTACTTTGCCCTGCCATTTTAAACCCTAGATCGTTTAATTTAATTGCTGAACCGCCACCTCCTGCTGCTGCAAGGTACGGTAGGTCAAATTAGGAGAATGCGACAGTAGTGTACATACAATATATGAGCGTACCAGACAAATCTATGTATAATACCGTTATTACATTACATTGTTCAGGTCTTTAGTAATGGTGGCAAAATGCCTACAAAACCTGGCTAATTTAGTCGAATTTGGCGGTAAGGAACCGTACATGGAAGTCGTTAACCCCTTCATTTTGAAAAACAAAGAAAGGATGGTCGTCTTTCTGGATCAGTTGTCGGTATGTTATTAAAATTTAAAATAAAATCGTACAGTTAAAGTTTTATTATAAATCTTGCTTAAATCTTGTAACATTTCACCACCCTAGAATGTCACTGATAAACCAGAATCTGAAGGATCTGATCCTCGAAGTAAGAGTACGTGTATATCGGATACTGCCAGGGACTTGGCAACGCTACATCACATTTGCGTCTCGCATCTAAAGGAGCTACAAGTTCTGTCTAAAACACAGGTGAGCATATTAATTTCATGGAACTCTCGTTTAATTATGAGGTTCATTTGTTCCTTTTTTTTTTAGTCAACAATAAAACAGTTGGTGACGGTCACTGAAATGCTAAGCAAGCATAAACAAAAATACATGGAAATGATACGGTAGTGCTACAGTCAACAGTCACCACTATGCCAAACATGACGAAATGATTTATAAAGAATTGAAATAAGTAACGTACAGTAGTATTTAAAAATACGTATAATTACACGATTTAAGTGATTAATCGTAACAGACTGACGTGCCATATATATATTATTGTATACACACTCATGCCTACATTTAATATTTCATATGTAATTAGAGTATAGTTTGTATGATTAGTAACTGTAACATGACAGTGATATAGCTATAAACAGAACCGTATAAACGTATGAAATTTTATATCCACTTAGGTGCTCGAGAATAAATAAAAATAGCGAAAATGCTGTTAACAGCGATGTAAATGAAAGAATTCGTGTTCCCTTCCTGCATTAAGTGGATACGTTATGAACATAGTGGATTACTTAGATCACCCAAAATATGATAAAATTAATATTTATTTGCCATAAAGTACAAAAATAGATATGCACAGGATATACAGATTGCACGTTATAAATACACATATATAATTATGATTACCAACATTTTTGGTAGAGTTTATACTCATTACAACATTCGATTATATTATACGTGATCGAGCCGATTGATAAGTGTTAACTCTGATTAGCTAGTCACTTAACGCCCTGTTTGCTGTCTTGAGCAAATAAATTTATTTTATATAATTCTCTTTTTATAAACTCGCCAGCTATAATTGGAGGTAATTTTTCGGCTTCCTTTTTCTTTTCTTGTTCGGTGCCTATTAAGGAACGCATTTCGACATCTGACTCGATATGACAGAACAATGTCGACGAAATGCGCCACAAAGGTCTTCCTGCTTTCTTTGCAGTTTGAATTGCAGTCAAAGTTTGCTCATTTACGGTAACTTGATGCCACCCGGCTGTAATACGACCTCCTGTTAAATATTCTAATTGCATTCCCGCTTGAACCAGTAGGCATCCATCGGGAACGGAAACTAGAAACTTTGTACCATCTCGCAACCAAATATCTAACCCAGGAAATCGACTTTTCCCGTGAAGAGTTAGAAAATCAATGTCCCGATGAAACCCAGCCAAGATTGTATTTAACTTGTTGTATTTACTTAAGTCCGAACCAGTAGGAGCTAGTAAATGTGGGCCATATTTCATCATATTAGTGATCGTATCTTTGGGTAAACCATAACCAACTGCAATCATTTCAGTAATTGTTTTTGCAGCTGCAAGAAGTTGATTTCCCCAAGAGTCCATTAGTTTCGTAAAATTTGGAATAGCTGCTGGACAAACAGGCTGGCAATTTAATTCATTAAACTTTGTCTTAGTAGGTCGCGGTCCAATACGATGGAGAAAACGCCATTTCACGTCATTTCTCGACGGCTGTAAAGGGGCGTTCTTTGCGTTCCTTGAAAGCTACAAAAAGAATATTGATTAAAAATATTTAAACGGTACGTCTATGTAATGGAAATCATGCTTGAAAAATTCCAAGTACGTGGAAGTTTACATAAAATCAATATGCTAGTTTATCCAAAATTTGTAAACGCACAAAATAGCGAAGATAACATTTCTAAATAGATGCTTTAAGATTTGAAACGAGTATACGCAACTCTCCGCAATAAAAATATTTTTTTTTATGCAAAGGGCCAACAACACATTGAAAGTTTTCAAATACATTTTGACACGGTTGAAAACATTATAATAGGAATATCTTATTAAAGATAAATACTTCTGCAATGATTTCGTGGCACTTTGGATCGGCAACGCAAAGAGGAGATTCCGCGCCCGACGGAGTAATGCCAACTTGAAAATTCAATTCAGGATGCACATCCGCCATGATATCCTCAAGAGGTTGTTGAAAATATTGCTCCATAGTGTCTAAAAATCTCTGATTATCATTCTCAACGGTTCGCGGATCGCGAACAAGCAAACAGCTGGTTTTCTCGAGAATACGAACCACCTAAACAACAAACAGATAAAGCGGATTTAATGTCAAGATTCTGTAGCACAGATTAAACTTAATAATTAAGACGCGTTGAAGGAACTCACATTTTTACATTCATTTATGGCCTCTTCACTTTTAGGGTTCTCGAGCCAATATTTTATTTCGATAGGACGTTCCATGATCTAGATAAGTTAACTGAACCGAACCAAGGTCAAGTAATGCTAAGCTATACTGGCCGAGCCCACGATTCTTTGCGACTGAGAATCAATCACCTATCCACGACCGAACATCCATCTTTCTTGAAATACTGGAGTAGCGAAATTGTAGATAAGATAACACTGCCATGTTTATGGTATTTTGGTTCGGTCTTTGGACCCGATGCACTTTAATGATTCTACTCACACCGACACCTTTTAATCGAAAATACATCTGTAAAGTACAATACAATAATTCTTCATTTGAATGTCCTAAAATAGTTTTTGTAAAGAAATAACTGGTAGCAGAATGAAATGTTTATTGTTACACTACTGACATCTTGATGAATCAGTGTTACCATTACGGAATGTATGCAATACATCCATTATCTAAATGATAAGTGAAATTGATAAATAAAATGATAAATTCCAATATATGAATACTAGTAAACATAATATCGCATGCACCCATGGATAAATAAAACGTTAAACTTTGTCTGCAAATTATACATTTTTATTTTAGTCAATAAAAATATCACACACGTAAAAAATAACTTCCTTTGTTCATTTACATTTTATATATACGACACGTACATTTTCTTCATTACAACCTGTACTTTCACTTAATTATTATATTTCCCATATTGTTTGGACTCAGAATTTCAATCCAATAGCCATCCGGATCTTTTATAAAAGCAATTCCCTTCATTTTCCCATCTGTTGGTCGTTTAATGAACTCGACTCCCAACTGTTCAAATCTTTCACAAGTTTTATCAACATCCTGTACTGCGATTCCAATGTGGCCTGTGCAAGATAGCGCTTCATAAACTCTGTTTTAATTTTGTAACAATATAGTTATTTCTCAAATGTAAATAAATTATCATCTTACCAAAACCTCTAGGTTCAGTGTTTCCATTGTGATAACTTACATCTGAATCGGATTCAGTTCCCCAGTTGCTGTAAAATATTTGTCTACTTAATATGTATCTATACATTTTACAAGATATACAAAATGTAACAGACCCGTCACAGACTTAGATGTGGATTTCAAATAATGAAGTAAAATCTGGACGAAATTAGGGACTGCAAGACCATGCAAAAATTTTTCAAACAGCTTTTATCCAATATATCTGAATGGACACCCAAGATGCTTTCCCTGCATCCAAACCTACTGAGTAAGCTCTATAGTTGCTTTTCTGGAGAATGTCCATTCGATGCTTTTCCTTCTGTCCGTGGGTATATCATCTTTGTTCTCATATCCAAGAAAATACAAAGAAAACTTCATTTCAGGAAAATCTAACTTTTGCAGCAAACGCATCCCAAGTACTTTAGTATAAAAAGGCAAAGACTTCCTGGGATCTTTAATACGATACATCGTCTGTTGCATAATAAAATCTTTGGTCTCAGGATCAGGTTCTTTACAAAGATCCTGAGCTTCGTTATCACTTAATCCTGTTGGCTCCACCATCTACAATGTAAAAATATTAAGGAGTAATATTGATTTGATTAATCAGCTGGATCTCTGATCGATATCAAAATAATTATATAGGTTGGAATGCAAATACGAAACTTTATTTACTACTGTTATTGTATATCACATTTTCAAGTAGAATCCTTAAAGTTTTATAATATAAATGATTAGAACATTAAATCAAGTCTTTAATTCCTACCTTGGAAGGATATTACCAAATTGAGGCAAACCTGTTCTCGCACTATTAAAAGTCACTTGCTAATTTGCACAATTGTACGCAACCGGCTTCTGCTTTCATGGATCACCTACACAACCTACACAATCTTATAGATTATGTATGAAAACGACACAAATTTAAAGCAAGGTAAAATTCGTTTCTTGTTCAGCACTGTGACGTAGTTGATTGTTCAACGATCGCTCCAAAAGACCAGTATCGTGTAATTCCACGCTACAAGTGAGGGAATATCGGCAAAATCCCTGTATATTCATTGCATAAGAGTTTCTTTGTCACTCTCCTTCATACAATACGAGTAAAAGAGATAGAAAGGTCTTTTAATTATTGGAGTGGGGGTTTACTATTAGGTAACCACGTTGATTTCGAAGGAAAATTATTTCTGTCTGCTAGTTTACCTGTCAAGGTAACCATCGGTGACGGATCACGCAAATCGGAGCAAATCGCAGTTGAGAAGCTTGTCTGTCAGGAACATTCATCATTTCATTAGATCGATTAAATTACAAAGATGGCTCATTGGTTTCATCGCAGTACTTTGAAGGCAACCACGAATCATAAGTTTGAAGTCAAACTATCTTCTCCAACGGATGCTACAAAAAAGCTTTTTAGGTTAGATCTCTTAATACGCTAAATTTATACGTATAAATTAATAATTAGTAAATAATGATTTTCACGATGGCGTTGAAAAAGCACGTGATAATATTACGCATTTTTTAATAGAATTAATAAATGCAATATAACGTACCCATTACTCATTCGCTCACTTATAAATTTGCAGTGATTTAAGGCTTTCAAGGAATCGACTTTTAGATGTTATAAGGAATGCAAATAATACCAGTGATACAATTGAGCCAGCATTTACAGCATATTTAAGTTTACTCTATGGACTTATTTGGGAAATCCCAACAGAAGACCAGTCACAACATGTGGGCAGATCAAATCCCAGTAAATTACGTAATATTTTTGTGTTTAAATGGACCCATACTTTACTTGGATCTACAACACAGTAATTTCTATTTTTTGTAATGATTCCATTTATGTTACAAATCGGTATTACTAAAAAAATTTTATGTAATATGTTTCAGCTCTAGCGCAGATTCTGTCTACGAAGCTGCAAACATGAGTATCAATGTAGGCTTGTGGTTTATGAAACATGCTGCAATGATAGCTGCTAAAGACGAGTAAGCATGAATACATACATTTTTAATATGTAATAACACTAGAAATTTACATGGGTATTACAATTGTACACAGCATTACTATGAATGAAGCTAAAGACGTGCACACAATGTTAAGGCGAGCTGCTGGTATATTTACGTTTGTACAAACTGAATTTTTACCACAACTTGCAAATCCTCCACCACTAGGCAGTGATTTAGATCCACGTATAATAAATGCATACATAAATCAATGTACTGCTGAAGCACAAGAAGGTCAGTATTATTTGAGACTTCTAAATTTTGTAAAAATGTAAAATTATTACTGACAATTTGTAACATATATTTTAAATTTTTGGTTTCAGTAACTGTCGCTAGAGCAGTAGAACTTAAGCATAATCCAAGTCTCATATCAGCTTTAGCAAATGAGACTAGTAAACTATTTTTGGATGCAGCTAATACTTTGCGTCCTTTCAAACCTGACATATCATCACAGTGGATCAAATATTTAGAACTGAAAGCAGCCTTTTATCAATCTTATGTATGGAAAAAGTATTATTTAACACAGAATTCTCTTATGTGGCTATTGTGTGTATCTTCAATGTTGTCACTACATTTGCAGGCTTATAATTACTGTGGTGAAAATTTATTAGCCATGGATAAGTGTGGAGAAGCTATTAAAGCACTGCAAGAAAGTGAAGCTTGTTTGACACGTGCAAAAGCACTCTGTCAAGAGTATACTAAAACTCATGGACCTGCACCACGAGTAAAACCAGATCAACATACTGTTTTTAAACGCCTGGCTCCAATAGTGAAATTAACGTTGGATAAATGTAACCGAGAGAATGGTTTAATGTACGATGATTCTGCCTTTAGTTTATTTTATAATATTACATAATATAAAGCTGCAATCTATGAGTCACATTTAAACTCCTCAGATATCATCACGGTATTCCTGGTGAAGTACCTACGTTAGATACAAAAGCAACTTTTGGACTTGTAAGTCCGCTTGATTTTCAAATGCCTACTTGCAATTCAATATGGAATTCTATGGGAACATATAAACATTTAATTGGGACCAGAACAGCAAAGGCAGAGCGAGAACAGGATTTACCACCAGTAAAGGAAGAAAATATTCATCAAAGCAAAAAGGATCCTAAGAACGAGAGTGGTTGTACAGTCCAATAAAATAGTCTTCAATTTCTCAATGGTATGCTTTAAATTGCTTAATAACTAAAAGCTTTATTTGCTTGACTGTGAGTTTTCATTAGTACTAAATGTTATATTATTTTTTAATGAAATTACTAAAGTTTTACATTTTAAATAACAGCTTTTAATTTTTCCTAAATTCTGTGAGAAATTTAGACGTATATATATAATATTGTTTAATATAGTAATAATTTAAATTAAAATCCTTAAAGGATGATGTCTCTGCAAAGATGCATTTAAAACTTAATTTTATATAATCTGATATATATTTTAAACCAAAGTACAAAAGTCTTACATAACGCTGCTTCTTATGCGAGGCATTTTCAGTTTTTAGTATAAAACTGAATTATTTTATAGCAACATTGTCTGCTTGTCTATATTGTAAATATCCATGTGAATGACTTCACTAAAGGATGATTCAGCATTGGTTTGAGTGATGAAAATCGTTACGTAAAGTATATTCGTTAATTAACAAATGTACTTATCTTTAGTAGTGTTTTATACCTTTAAAATGCAATACTTCTTATATACTATTCAGTTCCCAACTGTGCAACTTCACTTGAGTCGCTATAGCAATTATTTCATAGTTAATAACCATTAAAAAGAGAGTGATCACTACTTTTACTTAAGTAACAAGTAAAAGTACAAGTAAATCACATGAATGAGCAAATAGTTTGTACAAACTGTATTGCCTACTGATATATACATCCATTTGCTTCGCCAAGTGGTGTCTAGTATTATTGCTTTTTAATGTTCCTTTATTTTTATATATTACAATATAAGTATTCTTGTAATTATTAAAACACAGGTACTCGCTATCGCTTTTGCACAACAAGTGTCACATTTATAAGGTATTCAAATTACTTTATAAGGTATATAAATATGCGACATGACATACCGTTGTGTAAGTATTACATTGCGTTTTAAATTATATGATCGTAACCATGTAATCTAATACCATTAATGTTGAACTGCTATTTTAATATATGCATGCAATATAATATTGCGATACATTTATATTTGTATTTATAAAGTGAATTGTACATTCAAAAAATATATTTAATGTTACATGGCTATCAAAATGTGTCAGAATTTATTCGACTAAGGACTTACAGATAAGCAGAATTGAGTTCAAAGTAAATAAAAATTCTTAAATGATAATTGCGCCCCTTTTATTTTCATGGAAAATATAATGAATAATTCGAAAATCCCACCGCGATAACCGTGAATATCATAATGGAGTTCTTACTGAGCGCGTCAGGTGCTGTACATATATACATCATCATATAAAGCGCGGCGCGTCACGTCTAGAGGATGAAAAACGAATCAAAACTGCAGTTAATGTCTTACGTTTCTCCCGCCACAATTCTGATTGGTTTTTCATCCTTGACGAGCTGAAGCGCCGCACTGTGTATGATACTTGACCGCTCAGGGGACTCCGGCCTTAATCACATAAGAGCTACCTGTATAGAGAAATACATATTTTATGTCGTACTCCCTACCACTTCAGTCGGTATATCACGTGGGAACGTTCGGAAGTTTTCGCCTCTCTTCGGCATACCTCGGCACAATCGAGGCCGTGAGTGGTTAGGACAGGTTAGGACGTCACGATTTTTGATGACTTTCATCGGCTTGAAGAGGATTGCCTTTCAGTCGTGCTCTACCGTTGCCTACAATGGCAGCGTGACCGTTCGCAAAAAATTCTGTTACATCTGTCATAATTTCACATTCTGCTGCAGTGCCAGTGACTGTGAAATTATTAAGGAGTTTTCGTAGTTGCTTCCATTAGTCGTGAGAACCACACGTCTTAATTAGATATAAATATTAACCGTGTACCGTACCTCCTTTCATTGAGCAAAAAGTGAAAGTCTTTTGGTACATACATGCCTTTATTTGAATTATATTCCTCCCAGTTTGGGATGAAGTCTTCCTGACACATTCCGTTCGACTTCAAGGGTCCCATCTCACGTTTTGCGATTACTACGTCAAGGACATTTTTAAATTACATTTATAATGTCTGCTATCGACACACATGACGTAATCCGTGTTGGGTCACGGAAAAGTGAGGTAAAATGATTTTCCTGTTAATTACGCTGGTTTCAACTTACAGTTATGTTCCTAGATTAGGTAGTCAGTTACGTTTGTAACACGTAATTCAATATTATCCTGCTGTACGTGACCTTTTACCTATTATCAGCAGTTCGCTATGTGATCTTTTAAAAACAACCTTAATATGCACGTAATGATAAGTCAAGGAAAATCTTTGAGTACCTACTCATGTCATTACTTACTATGTTGCGCTTTGAAAATTAGTACATTTTTTAATTGTACTTGGTCTCGATATTTATTGTCAATGTAAGAATTATTACAGTATAATTCAGCAACTCTTAGATACTGCTGTATCATGCTTGGAAATGCTTAGTCAAGAACTAGATAGGTACTTTTATTTAGTGTGCAATTGAATGAATGAATGACTACACATTTCCTGTAACACATTGATTTTATCACATTATCAACTTCCTTATCACAGTTATGAGAACTTAGTAAATACAGATAAGGAGTTCAATTAATTTCACTAAAATTAGCAGAGAATGGAAATTATAAAATAATACATCAGTTCTGTGATAAATTAAATATATTTAAATATTTTGTAGTTGGCACTAATTCAGACGAGACATGTAATCAAGTGTCTTAAGGAAAATCATCCTAAAAAGAACTTTGAAATAGGTAAGGAATAATAATGTAATTAAAAAGTGATATGATATATAACAATACTCATAGTTTTATTAAAGTAAACCACATGCATACCCTTATATTTACACATAATGTATATTTTATTTATCTGAAGCATACGAATGTAACAGTATTTTCTAATTTTTGTTTACAATTTCTATAGTAACGATGAGCACAAAAGGAGATAAGATACTAGACATATCTCTGCCAAAAATTGGGGAAAAGTCTTTATTCACAGAAGAATTGGAGCTTGCATTGGAAAATGGTGGTGTTGATTTTGTGGTACATTCTTTAAAAGACCTACCAACTACATTGCCAGAAGGAATGGTTCTTGGTGCTATACTTAAGTAACTATCATTTTGTAATCATACTAACATGATTTCATTAATTACTACAATTTTTTTCCATCCCCAAAGTAATTTATTTTACATATTATGTTAAAACCTATAATTTTTAAAACTGTACTTAATGTATGAATGAACAAATTCGTGAATAGTTTGAGTATTTTCTACATGTAAAACTAGAAACTTTTAGAGCTTGAATAAAAGATTCTTCAGGCTTTGGCCTGCTGTGACGCATGTTGATGAAAAATGGAGGACCGTAGAGTAAAATATAAATATGTAATTCTATTATCATACTCATGAAAGAGTCATGGTCCGTCATTATGTATTCAGACTGCTTACGCATACCAACCATGTTTTACGTCGGAAACAGTACGCAAAATAGCCGAAATCTCTAAAACTTTAATCTTTTAGAATATATATTACACTTTGCTTTTTAATTCTTTCGATTTTCTATCTTTCATGGCGTATATTAACAAAATTGCTAGGACATGTTAATTTCTCATAGTAATAATATATTTTGACCTATGTATATTTCTTTACAAGACGTGAAGATCCTCGAGATGCAGTAGTTATGTCTAAGAAATATGAAGGAAAAACATTAGCTACTTTGCCGGAAGGTAGCATTATCGGCACTAGTTCATTAAGGAGGTCAGCCCAACTGGCTAGAAATATGCCTCATCTTAAAGTAGAAAATATTCGTGGAAACCTGAACACTAGATTAAAAAAATTGGATGACGAAAATGGTTCATATGCTGCAATCATTCTAGCTGCTGCAGGTTTAAAAAGAATGGGTTGGGAAGATCGCATTAGTCAGGTGAATAATATTTTCAATACATCCTATTCATTTACTACCATATTTCCTAGTGCAATAAGTGAAATAATTATTTTATTTTCAGTTACTGGAACCGGAGGAGGCATTATATGCTATTGGTCAGGGTGCATTAGGGATAGAGTGTCGCGAAACTGATTGGAAGACGTTATCATTACTTGAACCCTTATATGACGTGGAAACTACACTCAGATGTGTATGCGAGCGCTCATTTCTAAAAACTCTTGGTGGAGGATGTTCAGCTCCTGTTGCGGTTTCGTCGTCATTAGTAGATAAGAATTTGACCATTACAGGAGCTGTCTGGTCTTTGGATGGCCAAACTATCATAACAGATACATTAAAAAGCAAATTGTACATACCAGATGATACTGGAGAGCCTCCAAAGTAAGTTTATGGTTTTATTACTACTTTAGTATACGATTACCTTATTTTTGTAGACCATAACAAGAACGACTGATACTATATCAACGATTCTTAATTCTTAACATTTTTTTCTATACAGAAAATGTCCATATCGAGAACCTCGTTTGTACTGCAGTGTTGCTCCAGGAAAAGTAAGTGGCATAAGTCTTCTAGGAGCAGAACAACTTGGTAAAGATATTGCTAAAAGCCTTATTGACAAAAATGCTTTTGAAATCATGTGCCAAGCTAGAAAAGAAATTCTTAATTCATCATAGATTTTTGAACTACCGACATCTAGTATTCAATCTCATTTGAATGAACACAGAGTTATTTGAAAATGATACATTTGTTAATCTTAAGAAAACAGGAAAATTACATTGTTTAATTCTTGTATAAAAATTTTAAAATCCTGTTTTCAGTAATATTTGGTAATGTAAAAAAAACTTCAGTTCTAATTCCTTAATTGTCATGTCATAGGATGATCTAGAATTTTTCAATAGTTTATTTCTACTCGATCTCAAATTTTTTGCAATGAATCGCAATAAGTGTCGATTTTATCGGATTCCTATTGAACAATTTATATTAAAAAATACTTTGACGGTCTAATATATTAGATACATTCACGAAGCGTAACTGCATAACGAATCAACTCTGAGATGATGTTAAGCACAAGATGGATTCCGATTTCAGTGCACTACAGTTATTATTTTGCAATTTATTAACATTTTTTAATTAAAAATTTTATTTATAAACACTGCCATTTGTTAACGTTTAAAATATTACATGTTAAAATGATACTTGAATGGTAATGATGGCTGTCTTATGTTGCATTGTACAGAAAGTTCACACGTAAGCAATGATTTTTTTTTAAAGTGTAATTGTTTGAATAACATGATGGTTCCTGATGTCATGTAATTAAGCTTTGAGTCCACGGATTGTATATTATCATTTACAAAAGTTTGAGATATTTGTCAAGAAATCATTGTATTAATGTTCTACATGACAAGTGAAATTGATATTTATTAGAGTACAGTGTTGGTTTTGTTACAAGGTTGTAAGAATATTTGTACTATAATTTGGGAGAATTATTGATGTTATATAATTACATAATTAATATATTTATATAAGCAATATATCATACAGGTGTACAGATCGCATTGCGTGATGCGGGAAACCTTGAAGTATTAGAAATAATTGCGTAAAAAACATTATTCTCGTTGTTAATAAAAAAAAAACTTATTAAAAAAGTATCACTATTACATTTTTGTTTAATGAATTCTTAGGTTTTTAAGTTACGGTTTGTAAAGACCATGTTAACATAAAAACTAACATAATGAAGTTCACTGGTTCAAACACTCGGTATTAACACATGTTTTTTACATATAATTTGTGCTAGCTGCATTTTCGTCCCAGCGGTAAATAGTAAATTACATTTCGTTATTGCGTACGTATTTTACTATTATTTAGGAGTATCAGTTTCTGAAGAAAGTATAGTTTTTCTTACACATACATGTTCGAGATCAATATGAAGTATTTAAATACACACTTTTGGACTCTGAGCAAATACGATAAGTAAAATATACGTTTATATATATATATTTATATCTCTCTCTGTAATAATATAACAAGTTCCATCAGTTATACACAGGTTTTTCTAAAACCTGTGCGAGGACCAAAATTGGGAAGCTTACTAAATATGACTGTAATTTTTAAAATGTCACTTTTTGATGATCAGTTATGTTCAACCATTTTCTATCTCATTAGGCATGAGTAAATAATCTGAATCTGTAAGATCCAATGTACAAATTGGCATTACAACACCAATGTCTCTACAATGTTCAATATTGAATATATTATCCTGTATTTTTTTAGTAAAATTCTCATGTTCACATTTTCTCACAACAATTGGAGAAATTAATAAATGCATCAAGTTGCAAACATATAAATGACAAAATATAAATGCACGTAGATTTTAACATGTTTACATCTTTACTTACTTCTCTTCTGTTGTATTTGGTTTTATTTACCATCAGAGCACTCAAATTGTATTTGACTGGCTTGATGCAATCCTAGGTATTGAAAGTACTTTCTTTTTTGCCCATTCCTCACGTTGTACTGTTTTTCTTAGAATTCTAAGCATATAATCTATTACTAATTTTTAAATCCAAACAAGCAACAAAGGAAGCATTACCTTGTAATTGTTCTAACGTTTTTATAAGTATATTTGAATACATTGAATGGCTAAAACGTAAGAAGATAGAAGTTAAATGCTGGCGATATCAAGTAATTTATGGCCGAGGACCCTGCATAAAATCTATACAAGTGACTATCTTATGCAAAAACAGCATATCTTTCTACTATTGTTGACTTTTATTTTGAAAAAACCAACGAGACTTGATATTATATTACTCAACATCATCTTCTGCCACTACAGCATGTGTCATGAGTTTCTGAAAAATTATATTATTATCTAAGTTACAATTTTACACATAAATTCTAGATCTATATTTACAATAAATATAATTTTTGTTTAATACGCGACTGTTACAAAAGTTAAGGAAATTTATAAAATTACAAATATACCTGGCCTGCTGATTGTATTCGCTGTAAAAGAAGTTCAAATACTTGAGGTGGCAGTGTTTTTTGTAGAACTTGAAGGAGCTGCTGTGGTTGGCCACAGACCGCAACGGCATTAGATAAATGCTCAACTCCACCTTCCAAATCTCCGCAAGATAACATTTCTTCCCCGAGTTGCACCTATAATTGGATTACATCAATTTCTTAAATATTCTCATTTTTAATTAAACTACTAATTCTGTTGTTTATCCAACAATATACCTCCTGTAAAAAGAATCGTTGGACTACTTCTTGGTCTTTTAAGTCTGGAATTCTAGAGGCAGCTTTTTGTGCTTGTTTCCTAGCTTTTCTACCTACAGTTAAACAAAATTGATTAAAAGGTGATTTACCAATTAATTGTATCGTATAAAGCATGAGTAAATAAATGCAATCACAGTATTTAAGTGAAAGATCTTTAAATGGTGAATTGGAAACGGGTATTTTCGCATAGAGAAGGAGAAGTACTACATTAAAATTGAAATGCAGCACGGATCTATTTTAAAGGAACATGTGTAAGGCATTAAAGTGTAAAAGAGGTTGGAAAACTTACGCTCGCGAAGTTTCTTTTTGAAATCAGGTTCGCTTCGTCGCTTTTGATCGAAATAAAAGCAATAGCCAACAAAGATTCCAGCAATGCCAACAGCTATACCCACTGCAGCCTTTGAAATCATGGTCATTCTATCAGATATTTAAATGTTAGAATTGACGAAATTCATAGAACCTTCATAACAACTACGGTTAACGCAAGAGGGGGTGCGTTCACTGCGATAATCACTCGTCAACGGGCCGGGATGCGTCATTTCTAAAGACCACCAAGTGAGCGACTCTTTTTGTCCCAAAAATTGGTCCGAATCTTCAGGCCGATATTTCATTGGCACGACAAAGCGCAAATAAGAGGTTCCGATTGGCTGCACGGAACATACGGTGGAGGTTCCTTTATTCCATTTTTTTTCTGCTGCCAATCATAACCACTTATTCGCGCTCCGTCGCTCTGTCGCTTGTCGCTGTAACGCTAATGAAATATCGGCTTAGTTATCATCAGAGATGAGTTGGGAGATTGCTCACGGGTAGGGCCGTGCAATCGCATCCTGTGCTGCCCTCTGGTTTCGTACGTCAGTTTTCACCGTTTTTTGCCCCCAAGGGCGGCGCAACGAATTTCTGGTAGCGGCTCGCACACTCGCGATGACCATACCATCTACCAGTAGCCGTTGACGGCTCACGTACTCGTGATGGTAATACCATGGAAGTGTTGACGGTGGTGGCTTACCTACGCTTACCGACACTGCTCGCTTTTGATGGTAAGGGAAAAACATTCGTGGCACCCGCTTTGACTTTACTCTTCACCTACCTTATTTATTTTACGAGAAAGTGAAATTTTACCTTAATTATATTCTACTTCACAGCTAGTTCGCGAATCGGTGTCATCCCATAAGGATGGTACCGATCCCCCAGGTCCCGCCACGAGGAGGCCGCTGTGATTGCGACCCGCCTAAGCATATTCACCTGGTTCCGTTGAGTTCCCAGCGTCCCAGGAACTCGCAGAACCAGGATTTCATAACCCATACTCATCCGTCCATATAACGCTCGCCGCAGAGTACAGGGTAAGTCGCCGAGTACCTTGCCAGTTAGCATCGAATTACGGATATAATTTGCCGGAAGGGCATACTACTTTTAACGCGAACAATTCAGCAGCTTCCACCGTTACCGACGACTAACCCGGCTCGGCTGTCGGCCCGCGAATACGAGTTTCAGTCGACGGGCTTGTCCCGGCTTACAGCAGGCAGAGCCCCCGCGGGATGCCGCCAAAGCGAAACAACGCATCGCGCAACCGACAACCTGAGCCAGGTAGCCTTGCACGCCGTAGCTTAGCTACGACGTACTAGGTGCCGACGGAAGCTGCCGGATACACTAAAGGTACGGCAATGCTGTACCTGCAAAAATCTACTTCGGTTAGCACACAAATCCGAAATTACCAGCTGCATGGAAAGGTACCCGACAACGTCCTGTCCGCAATTTACAATCACGCACGCACGCAATGAGTGTTTCCACTTTTAACTACGTTAAGCTACTGTCATACAAAAAAAAACACGCTAAATGGAACCACTCGCGCAGCTATTTGCGAACCGGTGGTTTCGAACAATAGTTGGAAACCACCGATCCCCCAGGCTCACCACGTGGAGGTTGCTGCGCACCGAAGCCCTTTACAAACGTAATAAATTAAGTTAAATATATTAAGAAACGGAACGGAAGGGAGAGGGGATGTCTCCCATAAGGCCCGGTTTCACAACCCAAGTTAACCGAAGTTTGATTTCTAACCGTTAGGTTTAACCCTAGGTTAAAACTGGGGTTAAACGTTAGGTTAAAATTGGGGTTAACCGTTAGGTTTAACCGCAAGTTAAAACTGGGGTTAACCGTAGGTTAAAACTGGGGTTAACCGTTAGGTTTAACCGTAGGTTAAAACTGGCGTTAAACCAGTTACGGTAGAAGCAGGTAACCCGATGTTTACACTTCGGAAGACCAAAGGGTAATGATGCTCCGAGCGCGTGCTCTGCCTTATATAGGGTCCCCGACCCCGGCATGCGCATGCGCAGTTCCTTATCACACCTTTGTATATTCCAATTTTGGAATTTCTTTATAATAACGGAATTTCATGGCTACGGAACCTTTTTTTAGGGTCTTTATACTCACGTTATAAAATTTCAAACGATTAGGTACACCTAGTTTTGTGAAAAATTTCCTTATCAACCGACCCCTCGGTTACCTCTTTCTCGTCACCGTAACGGAAAATCCGTAATTATAAGATGATGCAACGGGAGCCAACGACTACTGGTAGACGGCACTGCCATCGCGAGCGCGCGAGCCCCTACCAGAAATTCGTTGCGCCGTTATTGGGAGGCAAAAAACGATGAAAGCTGACGTACGAAACGAGAGGGCAGCACAGAATGCGATCGCGCGACCCTGCCCGTGAGCATCTCCCAACTCATCTCTGTTATCATCCCCTCGTTTGAAGACGTTTCTGTTCCTGATTTGCCGGCAGAAACCGTTCTAATTACTGCTCTATTTTAAAGACTTAGTGGCCAGTCTTCATTTTCTTAAGTCCATGACAATTCCGTGAGTCGGGCTGTCACAATTGGATGTTTTCGGAGTGAATTCGCCAATATATATTTTACAGTGCTGACTGAGATTTATTCATAATTCAGACGAGAAGTGTAAATAGTGTCAGGTGATGGAAACATTTCTACGATTGTGGCATAATTTCTAACTCACGTTACGTCTTGCATCATAACAATTGCTGTCAATGTAATCTGATTATTCTAACCGAGGTAATCGTTACGTGTTTTGAACAATATGTTTATTCGCATTCGTAAATTCGTTTTTGCGTGCATACTTTAATTAGATTAATTACTAGTACGAATAAATTATTCGAGGGAATTATTTTCCGTGGATTTGGCATTGAGTTCTTATTTATCTAGACGTCTTATCAAAGGTGTGCAGAACGGCGAGATCATAACTGTAAAGGACGAATAAAAGGAGTTTCCAAGGACTAGCAAAATGTCGGATAAAATTCCAAACAATCAGACTCAGCCTATTGTCAAAATAGGTCACTATACTCTAGGACAAACACTGGGCGTTGGAACATTTGGCAAAGTTAAAAGTAAGGAATGTAGTTTAATGACATAAGAGAATTGGTATTTATATTGTACTTTGTTTACAGTCGGTGAACACGTTTTAACCAAGCATAAGGTTGCAATAAAGATCTTGAATCGCCAAAAAATCAAAAGTTTAGATGTCGTGGGCAAGATCCGCAGGGAAATTCAAAATCTTAAACTGTTTCGTCATCCTCACATTATTAAACTGTAAGTATTAAATATTTATACTATACTAATTTGTCACTTGCTACTCAATTAGTGTATCAATGTTGGTATTCACTGGTCATTCACACAATATTGCACCATAGGTATCAGGTTATTAGTACCCCAACGGATATATTTATGATAATGGAATATGTATCTGGTGGTGAACTCTTTGACTACATTGTGAAGCATGGAAAACTTAAGGAATATGAAGCTCGAAGGTTCTTCCAGCAAATAATCTCAGGAGTTGATTATTGTCACCGTCATATGATAGTTCATCGTGATTTAAAGCCTGAGAATTTATTATTGGATCACAATCTACATGTCAAGATTGCAGACTTTGGTATTATTAAGTAGGATTAAGGTGGTGCAAAACACTTTTTTTATTGAGTATTTTCTTGGTTTTTGTTATATATTTATGTACCAAACAAGTCATAGAATGCATTTGACATGATGAATGATTATATAAGAAAATAGTGAAATTATATTCTAATTTAAAATGTACGTGTATGATATTTAACGGTAGTAGTATCTTACAAAATCAATAATTTCGTGTTTCACCAGCTTTACACTTCCTACATACGGACATCATTGATCATCATGATTTTTATTATCATAGGTCTATCAAATATGATGATGGATGGAGAATTTCTTCGCACATCTTGTGGGTCCCCAAATTATGCTGCTCCTGAAGTAATTTCTGGAAAATTATATGCCGGACCCGAAGTGGATATCTGGTCATGCGGAGTGATATTATATGCCTTACTTTGCGGCACACTGCCATTCGATGACGAACATGTACCAACCTTGTTTCGCAAAATCAAATGTAAGTTCTAATTAGAGTATAATTTTTAGATAAAGAAGCCCACAAAAACAAATTGAAATATGATTTCAGCGGGCATTTTTCCCATTCCTGAGTACCTGAATAAAACTGTAGTGAGTCTTCTGTGCCACATGCTGCAAGTCGATCCAATGAAACGAGCTACCATTGAAGATATAAAGTACGTTGCAAAGTAAAGTGTGATTCAAGCGAAATGTTCTCTACTGAAAACTAAAAGAGTTTTCTTTCCTTTAATATTTTTAGAAAACATGAGTGGTTCCAAAAGGACTTGCCTTCCTATCTGTTTCCATCTCCTGTCGAGCAGGATGCTTCTGTAATAGACATAGATGCAGTTAATGAGGTGTGTGAGAAGTTCAATGTGGTGGAGGCCGAGGTGCATTCTGCACTTCTTAGCTGTGATCCCCATGATCAACTGGCGATTGCATACCACTTGATTATAGACAATAAGAGGATCGCGGATGAAGCGGCAAAGGCGGAATTAAAGGACTTTTATGTTGCCTCTAGTCCACCTCCGGTAGCTTTCAGTCCAAACGATGCCAGTAACAGTCCGCTGCGACCTCATCCAGAAAGAATTGCGCGTGAGTAGCGTACTAAAATTTAAATGAAACGTCAAATTGTTACATTTATTTTCCATCTAATTGTAGAAAATGTGTTTTAGCATTACGTGAACGACAAGGTTCTCATGGCAGTGCTCCAGCACATCAACAAGGAAACCGAGGAACACCGGTAAAAAGAGCCAAGTGGCACTTAGGAATTAGATCACAGTCCAAACCAAATGACATTATGAACGAGGTGTATCGTGCTATGAAGGCTTTAAACTTTGTACGTTTCAACAATCAGTTAATCATATGGGACCCCATGTGATAGGTCCGAAATAGCACTAAATACTTACATCTTTGACAGGAGTGGAAAATTATTAACGCATACAGCGTCAGAGTGCGCCAAAAGAATTTACTCACGGATAGGTTCAGCAAAATGTCTCTGCAACTGTATCAAGTCGATGGCAAGAGCTACTTACTTGACTTCAAATCGTTGTCGAGCGAAGAAGCTGAAGACGTCATAAGAGGTCAGTGTATGACAACAAGTTTAAATACAGCATAGTCTGTAAGACCTTACACTGGTATTTTTTTCCTAGATCCAACTATTCCTCCACCTCAGGCAACGGGTCATCATACGATGGAATTCTTTGAAATGTGTGCGGCCTTGATAACTCAATTAGCCAGATAAAGGAGTGAAGTATACTATTACTGGTGAAAAGACATACGAGGCATTGCCTTTGAGATAGCTGCAAAAGGTGAGCAAAATGAGGTGAACGTTTAGGAAAGGACTAACTGGTCATGACGACATGCCACCTTTTCTTATTCAAGTTAGATAGGTAAAAACGTATTACAAATAATTGTATAGAACAAATGAGTGTACTTTTTATTTGATACATTCAGCCCACACTATAGGTGTAAAGTAGATTATTTTAAATAAAATGTATTGACAAAACTTCTTGGAACGTGCACTATTTGATAATTTTTACTATTCATTAAATAGTGGACATGTTTTTTTATTCCCATTTAAACGAATCAAGACAACAATCAATATTACACTTTCTTTTATTGTTTGCAGTGATTGGATATTACAGTACAATGATTCGTTATAAATTACAACACAGTCACTTATCTACCTAATAGGTATCTACTTCTACCTCGTTTTGCCTAGATAACGGGGTCGATTGGCTATAAAAAAAAATGTGGATGCGTGCATACGCTTAGAAAAATATACATTATTGTATTATTACACCACGTATAGATTTATTTATGAATATGTGTCTCGTATAGAGCCAAAGGTCTAAAGAAATCTTCGAACCTTGGTCGATGTAATCGATACGAAATGACAGACACGCTTATGATACAACCGTGGTCGTTTACTTTACTCAAATAATACAACATTGAATTCGTAAAACTACCGTCTTAATCGATTCATATACAAGGTAATCGTTTAGCTATTATGCGTTTAGCTGAATGGCTCATTAACTTGACAATTTCGAACGTACATGTAAAGATGTCACTACACACGGCGGTGCGTGTTTAAAGTTATCAAGCACCGCATTTTTGGAATATTGATACCTAATGGTAAAATATACATAATGGCACGTTCTATTATTTTGCTTTATACAAGTATGGCTAGACCGCAATGTGCTGCCAAAAAAACTGCCTATGCTTTGTTAAATCCTCCACTGTGCGTTTGACTTCTTTAAGGCTCTGAAGGTAGTGCGCGATTAAATGTGAAGAAATTGGATCGCTTCGAGTCCAAAGGTTAACTTGATGTTTTCGTGTGTTCTACCTGGCTATGCATATATCGGGTGAGTTTGGTGAAAGTGCATATAAAAAATGTAGTGAAATCCAGCAAGGAATAAGAGCCATCTCTAATCGACCTCCATGAAAAATATACAGTGTGGTAAATGCTAAAAGATCTGGCAGTCATTAATCAGGTATGTAATAAATTTTAAAATATGAATGCACTGCCCTATCAAATAAGTGAGATTATTTAACTTAATTCACTCTGATTTTGAAGACTGTCACATATTTTAAACTCTAACACTGGTATACTTTTAACAGAGACCAATTTGGAAACATCTTAGTTTATGGTACACGTTTCATTATGTTCCCTGTGTATAGCGATATCACCGATATGATCTACTTCCAGTTCAATTGTATCTTTAATACTGTGCTTATTAGGAAGATCCTGGATAATCACGTACGTACGCTTGAAGAACGATGGAAGTGTCAAATGCCGTGGATGAAATGCATTGAAGCGTTTCAATAAGAGGCTTTGAATTGTGGAATCGAATTAAAATTTTCTTTCATTTTTCTTTAGGCCAATATGGTTGCCCTGGGTGAAATTCATCAAATTTCAATTCTTTTTTGGATTTCTCATCACTGGCAATCATTTTTTGGTTCGAGATATGTTTCATCTGATAGCAAAATTTCTGGCCAATGAAGAAAATTGTACCCATTACAAGACCGAGAGATTAGTTACATTGAAGTAACCAGAATTCTCTTTTGTTAGAGATAAAAATCCTGCAACACAAGTGAAGATAACTGAGACATTTTTCACTCGATACTCAATTAAATTAAGCAGATTGTCCTCACAACGGTAAACTAATCTCTCGCCGTTCGTGCAATATAATGCGAGAGAATTTCTGAACAACTGATTCCTTAAACATGGAGTCTTGTAAATTAAATTTTTTTTTCTATCATTGCATACAGCTGCCATAGTATAAATGAAAAATTCTCACATTACCTCCCTTGATCGTCAGAGTACATTTTTCTTGTCAGCAGAGAAACTCTGTTAAATCTCTTGATTATCTTCGCCAGTTTCATTGTCCACAAACTCGACATGCGTAAATGGAAAATGACCCACTTTTCCATGGAGCTCTCCTTCCCACTGTCCATTAATGTTGGTTTTTGTTACTTTAATCATATCTCCAACTTCCAATTTTAAAGCTGTTTTGTCATAAGCATTCGGTACTCGAGCTTGTTTGACTTTTGCAAAAGCTGGCAGTGTTCGTTGGATATTGGATCGCCGCGTGACCGTTGCTTGGCTAGTCTCCTGATGATGTGCTTGAGTTGGAGGTTGAGCTAAACTAGAATTCGATCCACTACTGCCTCCACTTTCAGGCCGCGAATTTTCAATCACTGTGTTACCATCTTCTTCATATTTTTGAACATAAGGGACTGGCACTGACCCCGTTTGTCCAAGATTATTCCTTGCCGTCCACCATTGTTCTTCATCCTTTGAGATCACGGTGAGAATTTCCCCTGTTTTAAAACCAATCAGTTTTGTAGCGATCCAATGAAAGATTAATTATAGGTTAACAAAAGCGATCTAAATTCCTAGAACTAAGATTATTAATTTGGCAACGAACTTATAAAATTATACCTTTTCTAAAGGGTAAATCATCAGAGTCATGGCCTTCAAAGTCGTACTTAGCAATCACCCTTTGAATTTTTCTGGAAGCAGGCCTGATCAGTGGCGTGGTGTCAAGGTAATGCAGTTTGTAAAAGGCCAAAAGATTTGGAATATCTGGAAACACTTGATCGCCGATGCGATAGCGCACTTGATCGCCTTGTTGAATTTTGTTTATTATATAGTGGCTGACCTTGCTATCTTCCCGTACACAGAGAACAAAGTCTCCGTGTATGGATGTGCTGTCACGTACCAAAAATACTCCTCCTTCCTTCTCACCCATCAGTAAATCCGACGCATCTTGCCTTGACATCGCGCCGAAGTACCAACTGGAAAAATAAAATACAACTTTGATTCTCGTCAAACAATTCAATTTCCATCAACTATTCTGCACGATGCATGAAATTCAAATAATTTGCAAGTATTTTAATTATAGGGTGTTCCATAGCATAGTAAAGATTCGAAACAGACCAGAAACATACTCTTCTAGAGTTTACCTGGACTTGTCGTACTGATCGAAGCTGGTAGCCATTGTCCAATGATCTGATCAATCCACTCTAATGATTAACAGCCTTCGGCCTAGTTTATTGACTAGTGTATCACGAAAGAACGTGTGGAAGATTGGTTAATCGTCCGCATAGCGTAAGATCACGCGTGCGACACTCATCTAGTTTGATAGGTGCGCCGCGCGTGACAGCGACACACCGCGAAGCGCCAACCCTTTTCGTAAATCTCCTTTCGAGCCGTATTTCCGACGAATTAGCACCTTGCATTGACAGAACGTCCACTTAGCCGCGAAAGAGTAATTCCATTCAGAGCATCCTTCGGACTTTTATCCTGATGACATTTCGCTTTTTTGCGAAAACGTGGGACTCGTTGACTTCAGAGCGAGTGGTTCCGTTCGTGTCTCGACGACGTCCTGTCGCTGTTAAGCCACGCAGATCAAGGAATTTTCGAAAAGAATCTCACCGAGAGCCGAACCCGAAATGCAATCTCACAAAAATGGTTGCCAGTGCGTTTCTACCAGTTTCTACGAAGAATAAACGATACAAAGAGAGCGAAACGCTGCTCAAAACTGGGCAGAAATTGCTTTCCAAGATGGAGACACTCGCATCATGGCGGGCTTTTTAAAAACAAAGATTATCAGAGAGTGCCTTGCTTTTAGAGTTCGAAAATTCTCGGTAACGTAAAATTGGAGAAGGTAACTATAACACATACCGTAAGTTACTGAGAATATTGAGAAGTTATGAGAACGTTAATTATTTTATTTATATACTTGAGGTTTCTTTCTTAAAATAACATTTGTTTTTGATGCACTTCGAAGATCAAATTAAAAAGTAATAAACAAAGATAAGTTGGAAGATTGCTCACAGGCTGGGTCACACGATCGCGTCCTATGCTGCCCTCTGGTTTCGTACGTTAGCTTTCATCGTTTTTTGCCCTCAAGGGCGACGCAACGAATTTCTAGTAGAGGCTCGCGCATTCGCGATGGCGATGCCATCTACCAGTCGCCGTTGACGGCTCACATATGTACTCGTGATGGTAATACCGTGCAACAGTTGACGGGGGTGGCTTACCTACGCTTATCGACACTGCTCGCTTTTGATGTTGGGGGAAGAATACTCGTGGCGCCCTCTTTGACATTACCCTTCACTTACCTTATTTATTTTATCCGCAAATGGGGAGCAAAAAACGGTGAAAGCGTTTCTACGAAACCAGAGGGCAGCACAAGATGCGATCGCACGATCCTGCCCGTGAGCAATCTCTCAACTCATCTGTGGTATTGGTTGTTGCTATTCTTTTCCATGTGGTCTTTTCAGGCTTTTCTTGCATTTAGTACGTATATACATACAATTAGTAGGGTCATGGTACATAGTAATATGGTAAATATATCGATGACCAGTTAGCTCGGTTGAATATTCTGTAAAATGCTACATTGGTTTATATAAACGATTATAAAGGCACTGTACAAGTGCTTAATAATATCAATGCCTTTTAACTACAGAACTCAGGAAATTTCAAAGGAACAGTGTTTAGAAATTTTGGATTGTTCAAGTTCTGCCACAATAAACGCGGTATTGGGATACGGTGCAGGTAATTTGATCTTAGTTCAATACTAATTTTATAAGGACGAGTAATCTGAATGATCAAGTCATTGCCTGGCTAATCTCTGCAAGTTTCTTGGATAAGATTTCGTGAAACATTTGTGTGACACTGTTTTTACAGGTTTCATTATAACACCCATTGTCTACAACCGTGTAAAACACATACTGAGACTTAACGTTTATATTAAAATTCCATTTTTCATTGGATTGTATGCTGTTGGCCCTTTACCTTTCGTTTATATAGCAAGGCAAAACTGTATCAAGAAAGTTGAAGCTAAATATAGTCAGAAAACTAATTAAAGGTAAATATGTATTGTATCAAAAGATTAATACATCTTGCGGGTAGTAAACCGGTACATACTGGACTTGTTTCTGTGTGTAAAAGAGTAACATGTGTTATCCAAAATATTAGTTTAAGATCTCAGCACAATAGCAATGAAATAGAAAATGATGAAATTGATGAAGCTTATAATGAATTGTCAAATGAATATTTGGGAATAGTTGCCGGAGGACACAGGGCCTTTATTGTGCAACCATATATAAAATGGGGTCCTGATAAAAAAAGAAATACTACTCCTGAGTTACAATTAGCCGAAGCTGAAGCATTAGTAAAAACGTTGCCTCATTGGACCATTGTTGATAAGGTTTGCATACCTTTGACATCACTGGAAAAAAAACAGTTACTTGGAGAAGGAGGGTTGGAGAATTTAAAAACTCGAATCAGAAGTCAAAGAAATGTTACTGCAATTTTCATTAGTACCTATGGATTAAAGTATGTACAAATAAGAGAATTACAAACAATTTTTAGTTTACCGATCTATGATCGATATTCTATAGTTATTCAAATATTTCACCAACATGCCAAAAGTCGAGAAGCAAAATTGCAAGTTGCATTGGCAGAAATTCCTTATATTTGGAAAAAACTGAATGTAGATGAAAGTCGAAATGATGGGGCAATAAATTTTATAGACAGCAGGAGAAAAATTCTGCAAGCTCGAGAAACAAAGTTAAAAAATGAAATTAAGAAACTGAAACAGCACAGACAAATGCTAAGGAGCAGTCGACAGAAACTTGGTATTCCAAGTGTTGCCATCGTAGGATATACAAATGCAGGAAAGACTTCTCTGATTAAGGCGCTTACTGGAGATTCGTCTCTTGAACCAAGGAACCAGTTATTTGCTACATTGGACACGACAGCTTATGAGGGACGCCTTCCAAGCACTTTAAAAGTCCTTTACATGGATACAATCGGATTCATTCAGGATATACCTGCAACTTTATTAGAACCATTTGTTGCAACATTCGAAGATGCAATGACTGCTGTAAGAAATAAATCGTAGTTTGATGGAACTTTTAACTTAAGCAAACATTTAAGTCGTGATATCAAATGTTCTTCATGTTCTCTTTGTGTCATTCAATTGTCAGTTAATTTTTACTTTATGTAACTAATCAAATTCTTACAAATTTGGTAGTAGTTTGTTTCTATGTAATTTATAGGATGTAATCGTGCATATTTATGACGCAAGTCATCCCGACTACAAGGCACAATATACACACGTTCAAGAAACTTTAAAGAATTTAATACACGACGATCGCCCTATAATTAATGTCGCTAACAAGTGTGACCTAGTCAAACAGGGAACTGTCCCAGAGGATGTCTTGGCAATATCTGCAACCGAGTCAACGGGTTTGTGTGCAAACAGAATCTAATTTTATGGTTGTCCCCACATCGTTTGTCATTTTCATAATTCCAGGTATAGATTTGCTGCGACAGCAAATCGAGAAAGAATTATTATTAGTAACTGGACGTTCTACGACAAGGATTCGAGTTAGGTCAGGAAGTCCAGAAGCAGCCTGGTTGTATAAAGAAACTGTGGTGGTAGGGGCTGAACCAGATTCAGAGGACTTACAATATCTTATAATGAGCGTTATTGCCACAGAGGATAAGTTGCGGAAGTTCAAGAAGTTCTTGAGCCAATAAATTCATAACGTTTTGTATTCTACATATGTAAAAAGCTATAATACAGCTATAAGGGTGATACCGTCAACGATAAATGTTGCTCGTAGTAGCACTAGGATACAATGCATTAAGAAATATACGTGGATACGCTGTTTCATTTAGATCACTAAGTCAAATCTAGGCACCTTTCTTCGCATTTAATCGAAATAATCTTGTATCAGAATGAGGTCCAAAGCGTCACCGATCTTTTACCACTACTTTGAGACTATCCACATCTTCATTAATTTATTTCATTAATTTATAGGTTATAGTACCTTGATCAAACATTAATCCGAGAATATTTAAATTTTTTGATAGTACCAGCAAAGTTAGAGTCTTTGTTCGTTAAATCTTTGAGTAAGCCCGAAGACGGAAATCGCACTAGGAGGTAGTAGGGAGGGTATCCCCTCCACGTACCATTTACGACGGTCACTGTACGTTCCTGGAACCGAATCAATTTTTTCCGTACCGTCGGTACACCGCTTGAGATCCAAAACGTGGACGGCATCGGCTCAAGCCAATCAAATGGTCCAGTCTCGGAGAAACCGCCAATCACCGGCGTTCTTCGAAGTAATTTCTCAGATTCGTCGAAGTACTCGGAGGCACGCGTCGCGTCTCACAAGCCATTAGCGATCCGGCGACCGTCGGTGGACTCCAGCGGACCAACCGCGCCCCGGATCCAGGGGAAAGGGCCAACAGCCGCGGGGCTCTAAGAGAAAGACGGCCGGCCACGAGGCAGCGTTTCCGTGGGGCCGGGAGAAGGAAGGAGGAGCGACCGACGCGTTCGGGACGAACGGTAGAGAGGGGCCGGGGACGGGAGACCGGCCTGGAGCGGCACCTAGCCGGAGCTGGCGGAGGTAGGGGGAAGGTGGGGGGAGCTAGAGGGAGCGGGGCGGTTGGCAGGCAGCGGCAGGGCCCCGGTCGGCCTCAGTCGCGTCCCGCGAGTCCGGGCAAGCAGAGACTATTCGGTGGTACGTGCGTGCGCGCGCAGTGACCCTTGTTCTCGGGATCCCCAGGAGACGTCGCGACGCGCCGGTGCGCGTCGGCCTTGGGTCCGCACGAGAGGGCGCGGGAGTCGGTCGCCATCTTGCCGGGGCCGGGAGTCGCGGAGTCTCGGAGGGTGTCCGCGAGGGTGACCGCGCTCAGTTCGGAGCCCGGGGCGATGGACGCGGGGAAGGTCCCGGCGCGGTCGCGGGCGCGGGCGTGAGCGGTCTCGAGGCGTGCCCCGGCCGAGTGTCGGTCGCGAAGTGAGAGTGAGAGTGCGCGCGCGAGTCCCGGCAGGGCGTCGTCGCGAGGCCCTGGGTCGGTCCCGGGCGCTCCGGGGCGGGCCGCGAGCTCGAGCCAAGGGCGGCCTGCCATGCGTCGGAGCCGCCTCGGCGAGCGGCGCCAGTGGCACCACCTCGTAGCGCGGCGCTTCGCCGAGGTCGCTGCGGTCGCGCCGGCGTGACCTGGATGACAGGGCCGAGGGAGGACCGCCGACGAGCCCGCCGACGAGTCCGCCGAGGACCCGGAGCAGCGCCGAGGGGGCCCCCCAGCGGAGCAGCCCCAGGGGGAGCGCGCGCCGCGCCCGTTGCCGGCAGGTACCCCGGGCCCAGGAGGCGGATCGAAGCCATGATTCTGCGCGGCGGCGGCGCCGCCGGCTGAAACGCCGCTCTCTCCGCCGGAACGAGAGAGAGCGACCCCCTCTCTCGCTCTCTCTCTCGAGCCCGAGCCCGACCCAACCCCCCGCCGGGACTGAGAGCGCGAGTCGACGCTACGACGCTGCCCATTAGGTACGTACCCACGTGGACGACGGCCGGATTTGCCGGCTCCGAAATCCGTACGGGGGAAACGCGCAAACACGCGGCCGAGACTTTCCATACCGGGAATAACATCCGAGGCGACTCGAGTCGCTGGAACGTTCTCGACTAGATGACTCGAGTGCTCATTATTCCCTGGGTTCGTTATCGCGGGGAAGAACCCGGGGTATTCGGCTTACCAGGCGCGGGAGAATGACGCCCGTTTAACGAAATTTCGGTATTTGACCCTCGACGCGATTAACGGTAGTTAACGGCGGTTAACACGGCGAGCGCATTCCGGAGCACCCCTCGCGACGTTTGATCGCATCGTCAAAGTCGTAAGGAAATGGAAATCCAGAAACTAAGAAGAAAAGAAAAACGTTGAAAATAATTCGCCGGGCCACCGCGTAATTATCTCGCGCTCGAGGACAACGGTCGGGGCTCCGGCGTGTCGTTGCTCCCCGTTGAGCCGAGAGACGCGTTGATCCGTCTAGTCGAGGCCGAGCCAGCGAGTTAGAGGACCTTGCGGAAGGTCACGGCCCCGTGCGACCAACCGATCCTTTTTTGTTCCTCGATTTTGACGAAGAAAGTCTCGTTTACGCGTGTTCACGGGTGTCCGTGTACACGGAGAAACGATTTGGTCGAGTCGATACAATTTTCGATGTCGACCGATATTTGAAACATTCGGTCGAGGCGACCAAATTCTGGAGCCAGAATTCGGTTCGCCCGAACGAGTCGTTTTTTGAGGGGCGAAGCTGCAGCCGGTCGAACGGTTTCGTTCAGTGGAATTTTTTTTCTTTTTTTTTTTTCCACGCGTTTGTATAAAACGTTGGCCACAAATTCGGTAGGTTGCGAGGAACGGCGAACGAGAGTGGGCTCTCCTTTCCCCCCTTTCCACTTTTATTCTTTTTTTCTTTTTTTTTCCTTTACCGACAGGTGTCGACTCTTCCGGGCTCCACTGATTTTTCCCCGGGCTCTTTGATCTCCCATTCCAGGGATTATCGAGGGCACCTCATGGTCGATTGGTCGACCGGACCAATTCTTGTTGCCGGTTGTTGACAATCGTTGAACATATCCGAATCGTGAGCTCGTGGACTCGCTAGATTAGGACGCTGTCGGGATTTCGACGTAATTGGGGCGTCGTCGGCGACGCCCTTTCGAGTCACCTCGCGAGAAATCCGAGGGTGATTCTCGGGAAAGTATATACCCCGAACTCCGATTTTTCTCCTCTAATCGGTGCACAAGGTGCCCGAATTAATTAGCGCTTTGATCGGCATAATCGCGCTATTCCACCCCCCCACCCCCCGTCTCACTCTCCACTCCACTCTTTTCGTCACTCCCCTCCTCGGCATCGGGCCGGCCCTGGTACCTTTGCCGAGGGAAAGTTGCGGCCGTTTTCCGTTTCGCGTTTTCCGCCCTCGCGGGAGAGCCCCGTCGCGCGTGTTATGCACGCTCGGCCGGCTGGCATTAAATTCGCAATATAAAATGAGAGCTCGTTTCGCTAACGAGGGCGCGAGCGTGTGCGCTCTCCTCTTATAGGGCGGAAAAAGAATATATAAAAAAAAAAGGAGGAAATTCGTCCCTTCGCGTAGTCGGCGTTTTTATATCACCCCCTCTCCCGCGGTAGCCGTCGTAATTCGGGGCGACACCGGGGATATAATGCGCGCCGGTAAACGCGGCCTTTATTTCCCGCTCTGCCTCCCAGAGGGGGTGGGCAAGAAAGGGGGAGAGGGGAACAAAAAAATGGATTTTCGAGCCGGAAATCGCCGGACGCGCAACTGGTGCCGAAGCGCCAAATCGATGGGCCGTGCCCTGTACAGTGCGCCGCATTAACCCCCTCCCGCGCCGTGGTACTGTCTAATGCGTGGCACGCGTGGCAGACGGTGGACGTTCGACCTAGGGAAGCGAGATAATTCTCGAAGCGTTCATTGGCGATAGCCCCGATAGCAAGGAATGAGTTATCGCATCGCATCCGATTTAGTTTACGGTCCGACCGCGAACGGTGCACCCGATAACGGAGATGGAATGATCGCAAGTTATCGAAAAGGGAAAATTAAACGGAGAAAAGAGGGGCGGGGAAAATGTGGCGAACGAAGGCGGGGACCGTCTCGACGTCGACGTAAAGGGTGAGAGCGGAGCGACCATTCCTCCAATTACAGGGGTTAATTGATCCCGATAGATCCCCGCCGCTTTTGTCGGGATCTTATCGGTCTTATCCGGGAACTCGTCGGTACAGGGGGGAGGCAGGGGGGAAACGAGTCCTCTCACCACGGACGGCGAAAAGTCTTCCCGCGTTCCCGGGAATCGAGCCCCCGGGACCCTCGGCCCCTCTCCGAGGATAATGGGGCGCTCTTTTCGGGAACGAGTCCTGCAGGAGCCCAGGGCCGACGAGTCGTCCGGCGACAAAATTATTAATGCCGATCCTCTCGCAAGGGCTTATCCAGGGATCCGGGCCGAGGGAGGAGGAAGGTCTTTAAGACGAGGGTTCCGGGGGGAGATGGGAGCGGGGGAGAGAATACGCATACCATGGGGCGTTCCCGTTGCTCGCGGCAAGTCGGGGGGTGCAACTCGGTGGTAACGACCCCCTTTAAGAGATGACGTTTCGAGTCTGCCGGAAGTCGGTGCGCGGGGACAACGGGCGGGGGTAAGGGCCTTTCGCCCTCTCTCTATTTTTCTCCCCCGCAGGAATCGGCAGTCGCGTCCGCGGGGGGACAACTGCCGTCACTCGACTCCTGCATGTCGGTAAACAATGATCACTGTCGCGAGCGCCGGACGCGCCCAGGAGGACGGGAGGGAAGAAAGGAGGCGGCAAACCCGCCGCGGAACCGCCGCGCCCGTGGTGCCCGCCTCCCCATTATGCGGGAATCTCGGGTCCCGAGCCCCTTTGCTAATTACGAGAGGGACGCACCTCTTACTGTCTGACGCATGGAGGGGGCGGGGGGGGGGGACTCCGGGGGCTCAGTTTTTCGCGCTTTCAGCCGAATATTGCCCTCGAACCCCCGGGCTCGATCGGCTAAGTGATTGCTCGCCACTCGGGACGCGTTTCGCGCCGGCTGGAAGGGCGATCGTTCTCGAGCGCGCGGTGGAAAAACGCGCGGTTGCGAACGAGCCCAAAGGGCGCGTAGACCCGCCCGATGGATAACGCGCAGTCGCAAACGGGCCTGTAAGGGCGCGTAAGCGCGCGCGACGCCGCACAGTGGGCTGAAATCCCAAAAACCTGGCCAAAAATTCGAAGAACCAAATTCGTTGGATTCTGTTTTAATTCACAAATTTTTTTGTAAAGCGGGGTCTTCTGCGTGTAATACTGGAACTACAGCTACCTGGGTTTTATACCTGCCGTTCTACTTCGGTCGGAACTTGGGCACCTTCGAGTGCGTAACGCTACGAGAATACTCTAATTTGGATGTTTCAAAAGTAACTTTTTATCGCAAAAAGTGATTATTTTCAGACCGCCATTTTGTTTTTGTTTTTTTCTTTTCTTTAAATTTAAAGTACACATTTGAAATCAGCGACCCAAAAAACCTTAAATTCGTCATGATTTGACAAATTTTCTATCTATCTCGATTTTTCGCCAGGATTCTCGGATTCCAGCCCACTGTGCGCCGTTGCCAGAGTATGTACGCGACGTTACGCCGTTTCCTCGCAGGGCGGCGACGCGGTCGCAAGTCTGAACGCGTCTTAAAAGAGGCCGGTTCGCGCGGCGCGTTGCGTTAACCCCCAACCCAGCCATATTGCGTGGCGCGGCTCTAAATTTCAGAGGTATCCTCTCTGCGACGTCCTTATCGCTCCCCGGGATTATTAATAGGGCGCGGCACTTCGTCCCTCTAGCGGGCGAACACGCGGGGGGTGTTTCCCTCCTCCTGTGGCCGCGGTGGTTTTTGCTCCCGTTATGCCGGGGCGGAGAGGTCGACCGCGGTAATTGCGATAAATTTTTCAACGGAAGCCCCTACACCCCCGTCTTGCCTCTCCTCCCCCTTCCCTCTAATCAGAACGTTCGCACTGACGGGCGTGTTCGCGTTTAATTATTTACGAATGCTGCAGTCGACTCCGGAACGCGACAGGGGCCGGCGAGAGGCGCCAGGTGAATCGACGGTCATTTCCCCCGAACCGGCCGATGGAGATTGGCCCCCGGGTGATCGATCCAGGGGAAATACCCGCGGCCGGCCCAAGGGTGCCGAGCGATTCGCGATCCCCTCCCTCGACCCTTCGCCTTTTTGCCCCTTCTTATATCACCCTCTTTTTTTTTCTTCTTCCTTTCTCTCTCTAGGTACGCCGAGGTAATTTTTTTTCTCTCTTCTTTAGGCGCGTCGTGGTAATTCTTTCTTCTTTTTTCCCCGAGCACGCCGGGACAATTTCGGTCGGGCTTCGGGGCCAGGCGTCGCGTCACCCGGAGAATTCGCCAGGAAGAGGAGCGATAAGTGAGGCTTCGGGTCGAAAGCACTTTGAATCGGGCCGGAAAAATCCCTCTCCAAGGAATGTACGCGGTTTTAAGAGATAATTCGTTATCTTCTCTTTCGTTTTCTCTCCCCTCGACTTTATTCCCGGGATCTCTCGGGTAGGATGATCGCGGGCGAATTTTTTGTTTCGTTTTCTCTTTTTCTCCCCCAATTTTTTGTTTTCTTCCCGTTTCCCCTCGAAAATTGTTTCCCCGGTCGGAAAGAGAATTCCCCGCGGGGGTTCGTTCGATCGCAAAATGACGGATTTCGGGGGCGGACGCGAGCGTGGATTTTTAATCCGGCGAAATGGCCTCGCGAAAATTTCGCCTCCCCCGGGACTCGCTGGGCACCGAACTCCGGGATCGGCTCGCGCCGACCGCGACGGAGACTCGCCTCGTGAGGCGACCTGTAGACTCCCTCTCTCTCTCTCTCTCTCTCACTCGCGCGCGCGCACGCGCGAGCGATGCCCCGGCGACAATGCAGCGGACAATGCCGCGCGGCGAGCGCGAGGATGGAAACTCGTTTCAGGACAGCTCTCGTCCGTACCAGAATCCAGCC